TGATGTCTTTATAGGAACCGATTTTTTTTTTCATGTTGGTGCTTTTTTCTTCGAGTATTTGTTGTGTTTGTGGTGTGTCTTGGAGTTAAGATTCTCCAAGTAGCTGCTCGTTATCTTGTAACTCTCACGTTCTACCCGTTGAAAAATATGTGAATTTTGAGCTCTTAGAAGAAAATGTAACATTAAAAAAAAAAGGGTAGCATTGCTGTTTGATAGCACACATTGACATTGCTAAAAAATAAGTTTCTAAAATGTAATTATGTAATTCATTTTTCCTTGTTGTCCCTTTTGCTTGTTTTTAACAAGATGCCCGGACACTACGGAGCAAAATTTTTTATATAAATTAATTTTTCTTCTTAATGTGGTAAAAACAGCCTTGCCGGCTGGGGCTCCAGCGTGTGGGCTGTTCAGTGCTGGGCAGCCCCGGGCTGTGCCGCTGTCCCCAGGGCCATCCCGGCGGCAGGTGCCCGCGGCCGGGAAGGGTCGGGAAGGATCGGCCACACCGCACCAGGCTTTGTCTGAGCGGGTGCACCAAGGCCATTTAGATGCTAATGCGATACACGCTCGCTGTTTTGTACTAGACCTTGACTGCATCTCAGGAATGCGGCCTGTCTGGTTTTGGGTTGGCATTCAAAGGGCCCACTGTAATTCCTGCCTGCCGATCGATTGATTAAAGCCGCGGTGTTCTGCCTCTCGGCTTTGATGTGCCAAAGGAAGCGGTTTGGGTTGGTGGAGAATTACATACGTTTTGGTTTTCCAGATCTTACCTACTGATCTGGGTGCTTTGTGTTTGCCATCTGCGATTAGGCAGTAAAGTAAATTTGCTCTGTGAAGCCACACATGGCATTAGCTTTACTGGCAAGGGTTGAGCCTTTTCTTCTGTTCGTGTTTGCTTTATGCTGGGGTAGCCAAATGCTATATTGTTCCTTTTAGCTTTTCTTGCAAATATAGTGGGGAGTATATTTCTGTATTTTTACCGTGGATGTGGCAGTTTTCTGTTATTAGGTTATTTTCTGGTTGAATGGAATAGATATTTTCGTTCATGTTTAGAGGCAGTGAATAAATGAATAACCTAGGCATAACAGGAACGTGTTATAATAAATCTAAGTTCTACTTACTGCATCCTAGCAGTAATTTGCTGTATTTTGTCGTGAAAAAAGGATATATTTATGTATGCTGCAAACAAGAATTTAAAATGTAGCCCTGGGAATAAAATTTTTGTAGGTCTATTTTATACATGAATGCCGTATTCATCAGATTTTCTGTGCTGCACTCCTTTTGTACTCTTTTTGTAAAATAAAGCAATAACTTTGTTTTGTTTTCTGGAAAAACATACATTTTTTCAGAATTTTCTTTTAAATGTGTTGAATGATAATTTTCTTGTAGATTTCTTTACTGTGTTAGGTGAAATATGTAGAGGGAGCACAGGGATGGAAAGCTGTAAATCTATTTGGCCTCAGCTAGCAATTACTTTAGCAGATAAAACAAAACATGCAAATATCTCCTGAGCACTTAAGGCTGATCTTTCAGACGCTGTCTGTATCCCTAGCCAGGAAAGGACATATGATAATTAGATTTTGAAGGACCATGTGTTCTTGCTACAGAGCTAAATATTAAAATGCAAGAAAGCAGACTACCACATGGCACAATTGATTTTTATGGCAGTTCATGTTAAAATGCTCTCTCTTTATATTGCCTTTTAGGTTACCTAGGGTGAAACAAAATTACAGCCTTGGAGACTCTGGAAAAGCTCAGCATCAGCATTTGAGGTAAAAATGAACATACTGAAGTAATCTTGGGAGTGTCCTCCTTGTTAACTTTGTGGAACTGATTGGAGTAGAAATTTTCATCAAGATCCATTTTGCATTTAAGTTTTCAGTAATGATTTAAAAATTTTCTCTTTTCAGGTCTGGGGAAACTCATATATATATATATATATATATATATATGTATATACTTTTAGGTGTATATATTGTGTAAATTTTTTATTTTAGATTTTTAAGAACACTTTGGATCTGCATATATATGGTATTTTTGCTTTAAGTTATATTTTTATATTACATGTAAAAATATATTTATTTGACTAATGTATGTAGAAATTCACTCTCATGAATGACTGTCTTTCAGAGTTTTATGTCTAAATCACCATCTTAAATGCACAATATTTTTACTTTTACTAAATAAACACGTGCTAATGTAATAGGAAGAAATGGTTGTTGCTTTTTCATGAGTTGACTGTACTACTTGCAGCTACAAATTGAAATAATTTAAGGAAGTTTGAATTCTGATTTAATTTTTTTAATGTTTAGCTCAAGTGAAATCAAAGTGCATGTGCATGGAAAAAGCAGTACAATTTTACAGACCATAGTAAAATTATATTGAACACTCTACTACTGTATTTCTCATATGAACCTGTTATTAATAATAGTAACCTGTAAATAGGATTAGGGAAGTACATGCACATTTAAGCTACCAAAAATTATCTTCTATATCACTCTTTTTTAAATTTTAGTTTCTAGTAGTAAACTAAAACAATTCATGTTCAAAGTGAACTTAAATAATTCATTTCTGTCAGCCAGTTGTAGTGTTGGCTCGACACATTTAAATGTTTGTATGCAACTGAATTACCACAATTAACCCTGCTGTCATAGTTCCCTTTTCAAATAATTTTTATAGTTCATAGTTCTTTGTTGTTGTTGTTGTTTTTAAGAGCCGAAGCTTGCAAATTATGTGATTAATCTACAAGCTGATATCATGATGTCAAAATGCAGTTCAGGAAGCATAAACACAGAGGCTGCGGAAATTAAAACGGTAAGACTGTGCTTTGTAGTGTGCAAGAGGCAGGTTTTGATGTATCACTGCGCTGTGTTCTATTTTGTATTTAAAGCTACTTCAGAACCATAGATTAATGTAACTTCTGTGTGAGGTTACAGAAATTTACTGTGAATTTCCTTGGAAAGAATAATGAAAGTAGCTACTTCATTTTATCCAGTAGCATAGATAAAGATGTTTGTCGTGAAACACATGCTGTGATATTTCTTCTGAAGCTGAATATGATTAGAAATCTATTCAGTTTTTTAAAAGGATGTCTGGGCGTTTAGGTATTTCTTATGGATTTTATATTCCAATATGGTTGTGTTGGTGAATACAATCACTTAAAAAAAAAAAAGGGTGAGGGGAGGGGTGATACAAAAGGTTAGAGTTATAATTGGATTTATATGTTGTTCCCAGTAGGAGATAGAAGGGAGATGGTGAGGAAAGAAAATGACAAATTGTTAATATCTTAGTTTCAAAAGTATGCTTCAGTTAGAATTATGAATTTGTCAAAAATATGAAAAGAGGCTTTCCAATTAAAGCTACACAGCAGAAAAATGGACCTCTGGTTTGAAAATGTAGAGTAGACAGAAATGTATCTAGTTTCCTGTTCTAGCTATTCCTCACTTTGCCTCATGTCTTAGGTACCATTTCCTTCATGTTTTATGTTTTGTCCTCTGTGTTAAGGAGGCAAAAGAAGAGGAGTCTGCGCTGGTTCTACACCACTGATTAGGCAACTGCATAGTTAGGATTGTTGCACAGGGCTTTATACACAGCGTTTTAAAAAATGAAAGTTTGTTCCAGAATCTGGCTGCGTGTCTATATTCTTTAAAGGAGAATGTTTATTCTCAGTGCCTCATGCACTGGTGTCACTACAGCCCTGATTTTTGTTTTCACTTTGCACTGCTTTACTGGTAAATGCCCTCCAGCCCGTGCGTGTTATGCTGATAAATAGCGCTGTAATTCTTGTAATTCTTTTGCCATAGAGACTGTTCCAGTGTACAGCAGCACAGCGTGTTATGCTGATAAATAGCGCTGTAATTCTTGTAATTCTTTTGCCATAGAGACTGTTCCAGTGTACAGCAGCACAGCTGTTGTGTGAATGGTGTCTTGTTGGTAGAGCCAGATTAATTGCAACAGAAAGTGTTTATTGGGCTTTTTGCATCAAATCCAGGTTTGGTCATACTGGTGACTGAACACTAGATGAAGGACTTAAGAGTTTGTGCAGTTTTCTGAGTCTGCAAAGCGTCATGTTATATTCCATTTCTCTCCTGTAAACAGACGTTTAGGAGGAGCGTGCCAGGAATTCCAGCTGTTAACTGTTGTATTGCTTGTAGAAATGCTTCGGAAGCAGCCCATCCAAATGTAGAGCCTCAATGTAATCTTTATTAATAAGCTCTTTAATGAAACTTTCCTGAACAACAGAAAGCAGACTTTACTGCTTTGGTATGCCTTGGGTAGGCTATTAGAGGCCAGTGTTCTGCTTGTGCTGTTAGACAGTTCTGTACCAGAAAAATAGAACAAATAAAATTCTTCTAGTTCAAAATAAACTTTCACAAGGAATATTGATGATTGAGCTAGTGAAACCAGGGAAGATGGTCCTTACAGGAATTGCTTACATTTGAGCTTTGTTTGTCCTTCTTGAAAGGGAACACATCTGAAATACCTTTTTTTTCGTTTAAGAATATTCTAAGACCAAGTATAAAAATTGCTGTTAGATGATGCACATGATAAAGATCTTTGAAGGATAAGAGATAAGGAGTGTCTTCGAAAGCTGCGTTCTGTGTAAAAGACAGCATAATGTAAGAAATTTCTGATTCATCTTATTGAATAATATTATTTGACAGTTGTTTGATATTTGAGTTTTGGGCCTTTTTTTTCCAAATAAAACTGGGGGTGTTTGGTTTGGGATTTTTAAGTTCTCATAAGAGAACTCAAATGACAGGAGTAATATTCAAAAAATATACTTTTGTAACGTTTTTGGAATATCACAGCAAAAGTCAAATCCTTTTAAAAAGTGTACTTTTAAAGGAGGTTTAAAAACCAGATAATGTAGAAATCTGCACCCTCACCTGGGCAAAAGCAGTTCTTGCCACTGAATTCTTACAGTGTACGTTGATGTGGAACACACTCAGTGACATTATTTACATTTTGTAAATGAACATTTACATTAATTTTGTACTATGTATTTTATATTTGTAATATTTTGCATTTTTCTTTCTACTTGGTTCTCCCTTACCCAAGTAAGAATTCTATTTGTTAGAAAATTCAGCAAGTTAATGTTTCATGTAGCACTTGAACGTAGAAATTGCTATTAAGAAACTGCTTTCAGACTTTTCAGGTGTTCATGTAAGAGAATATGATTCTATTAATTTTTTTTATAGTTGTGGTTTATTTCCTTTAGAATAAGTGAATTATTTTTACCTCTTGAGGCTTTTTTGGCTGACGCTGAAAGTGTTTTTAGAGAATAATTTAGACATTCCTGGAAAAGACGAAAACCTAAAGCATTGGAAATAATTTCTGTATCATGAGAATTATATTGGGCACAAATTAACAAATCAGTGTAGAAAGCAAATGAAATACATTGCATATGGCAGTAAGAACTTCTTAACTTGGTATGAATATAACACAAACTATGCATGCAAATGGTGGTAAAAACTTGAAAGATGCATCCCTGAGACTCTGGTCTCTTCTCTGTCTACTTCAGTCTCATTCCATAAATGTTTTAAACTGTCCTCTGAGCAGAACTAGATCCAGGATGTCTTATTCTGAGTGAGAGCCCTGGCTGGTGTGGCTTGTATTCCTTAGTGCAGCAAACCTTGAATTTTTTGTGCACCAAGGGTAACTTCAAGTTGGATACAGTCATGTGGCTGAAAAACCTACACATATAGTTCTAGAATTATTGAAGGCTGGAAGAAACTGCTGTTACATGTTATTGACTGTTCATTCCCAACCTTGAATACCCTTCTGAAATAAAGTTCTTTAAAGGGGTTAGTTCTAGCTTTGCAGTTCACTGTCTGTTCACATAAATGTGCATTAAAGTAAGGACATCAAGTTGTTAATTCTGCTCTTAAAACTGTCAAGATTGATGGTCACTGTTATTTTAGTAGAACAGATAAGCTTGGGCACTGTTCTGCCTTATCAAGTTTCTGTAACTGTCTAAAGCTCCTGTAACTAGTCTAAAGCCCCAGGAAGCAAGATTTGTTTCAGGTGTTTCTCCCTCCAAATTCAGCTTCAGCAAGTTCTTACAGTTTCTTATTCTATTAATTTTTAAAATAATGTAGTGGACAAAGATGGAACATCATAGCAAGTATATTTATTACTCAAAGCTGGCTGAGCAGGACTAGTTTGGGGTTTTTTTCTGCTTCACTGTTAGCTAGTTTCAGTTAGCTCATGTTCAGTCGATTTCTGTCCACAGATTTGGAACACATGTACTTACATCTCAGATGTTTTCAATTTAAAATCTGTTCTTCAAGTAGATGTGTTTTTTTGCTTTTTATTTGTAGATGGTCCTGTAGTATTTTTCTTTTATTGAAGAACTTGATATTCTTCCTTGCTATTGAAATAGAAACTTAGAATGATACAATTATTGGCTTACTCCCATAATAATGTTGACATTGATCTTGTCAGATCTTATTTACTTCCAATACAAATCATAGAAATGAAGGCCAGGACTAGGAAACTTTATTACAGCAGAAAGTAACAGTGATGGTTTAGGGAGGATAACTTTTTTTCTTTACCTGAATTAGCTCAAATTCCTTCCCACTATATGATACTTCAAGTGTGTTCAGCCTCATGTGAGCTCAGCTCTGCTATGGTTACAGTGGCACACAATGCTGTTTTGGTTGCGTGTACTTTTCAAGTTATGAATGTGCATATACTTCTTCCTTTGCACTTTTTTTGAGAATGCTTTTTTTATCTCAGTGACATGATTGTACTTTGGGGCAGGTTCTTCATGAAGGTACACAGAAACCAAAATTGTAGTTTAGAGTATATGTTGTTTCACAGCTTTTCCAGATCAAGCTGGAACTCTAGGTAAGTCTAAATTCCCTTGCTTCTTGCAGCAGGGTAGCTAACCTGGTATCACTGTTATGAAATGTGTAGCAAAGGAGATAGAATTATTTGTCATATTGGATCCTATGTTGTTTTTTATTAGCAGCCTTTCAAAATAAGGTTGGTTTTCTCCTCTTAATTCCCTCCTGGCGATTTTATAGAGCTGTTTTATATGTTCTCAAAGTTGTAGTTACCATTTGAAAAAGAAACACAACATAGGTGGAACAGTAAACAAAGAAGAGGTGCTGCTCATCTAAAGTGATTTATAAAACTGAAGTGACTGGGCTTACATAGAAGAATGATTGAGGAAACAGCTTCAGCTTTTACTATGGAAAAGGTTTGTTGGTTTTTTTTTTCCCTGGTCCCTTCTAGAAATTATTATGACACTGATGAGGCCTCTTTTTAAACAAATCAAACATTAGGGTTTTTTTTCACAAGTTGCTTATGTAATTAGAGAGGCATGCTTGAGACCATTTCAATGAAATATTGTAATCATGACAAACACAAGAGAGGGGTTGGTACTAAATGGTCTTTAAGTTCTCTTCCAACCCAAACCATTCTATGATTCTAAGGAGAGCTTTGTCTATAAGCTTGGAGAAGGAGGTGTTGGGGATGACACACCTTTTCCTACATTTTCTCCCTTCTTCCCTGCTCTCATGCATCTAAGCTACCAATTCATACAAAAGCTTCTCTAAAGGTTAGCTGTGCCCAGAATTTCTCAATGCTTTCTACTGGTGGCTGGGGAAGATTGTGTATCATGCTGCTGTCCTTGCCACGTGACTGATTTAAGCTGATCAGTCACACATTGATTAACATCAAGTACACTTGGTGTGAGAATGCTCAGTAGATCAGAATGTCAGGGATGATCAGATTGCTACATGAAACTGTATAACAAATAAACTGTTCTGTGATAATGTATCTCTCCTGCCTGTTGTCTCCCATGACCCAGAACTTTGGAGTCCCAGTGGAGGAACAGCCACGAAACCACTAGTTCCAAAGAGGGAATGAACCGGAACATCTTTAGTTGTGCCAGATTAGAACACTCTATAAAGTTACTGGTTGAATTACTAGAACAGAACCTGTGTGCGTGTGTATGCATTTTTTGAAATGTATAGAAACAATCTGAAAATCTGCAGGAGTTTTGTTTTTTTTTTTTATTACAACTGAAATGAATAAATGACGTTACTTATTTTATGATGTGTGTAGGCTGTGTTGTTTTCTGTTTGCAGCTAAATAAAGCAATATCATATTGATTGATTTTATCTGTTTAGGTAATCTGAAATATTCAGGCTGAAATGGTAGCTTAGGTTACAGGACTGAAAAAGTAAATGAAAAGGTTTGCATGAGTTTGGAGATTGATTCCAAAGCAACTTAAAAAAAACCCTAAGAAGTTACATTTACCTTTTTCAGTAAGTAGCTTTTGCTACTGAATGTTTGTTTTCAAAAGATAAATAATTCTTTATGATGGAACTTGATGTATAATGTTAGTTCACCTTAACCACAATGTCCTTCTGGGCTTTCTCTGACACTTTGGAAAGAAATGAGACAAAGCTTTATCTCTTGTTTTTTACCTTGATGATTCCTAACAAGTAGCAAATTTTTTTAAGCCCCTCTGGTGATGACGACTTCATAGCCTTAGTAGGAAAGTGGTTTTCCAATGCATAATTGCCATGAAGTTCTGAATGCTTTGTTTGTTTATCAATTAGAGTATCTTTCAGGAAATTGGTGGTTGACCTGATATGGACCCAGGTCTCCATTAGTCCTTATCAGAGTCATCAGCAATTATTTATAATGCTTCTGCCAGTTCCTTAAAAAGATAACCTTATCAGGATGTGTTATTTGAAAATACTGAAGTTCTTGTGTAGTTTCTGTTCTTTTCCTGCCAGTTAGAATAAAATTCGTGTTTGCGTGCGTGTAAAGGCTTTAACTGGTCACAGGGACTTGTTGGTTGGAAAGAAAAATGGAAAATCTGATACTTATGCCTATGCTGTAGAAAATCAATGTTTTTCTTTCCTGAAGTAAAGCTAAGACAGCTTTACTTTTTAAAATTTTTTCTTCAAGATATTTTAAATGAGATTGTGAGAACATAAATGGAACTTTATATTAAAATGTATGTGTGTAAATCCAAATGCCTGGAATGAACTTTGCCCTGTAAAGTACAGCTTCTTTTGAATTTCTGTTGTACTTTGTTAAACACACATCTTCAACTGGAAGAGTGCCTGTAAATTTAAAATCAGTGTTTTCTGCTGAAAATCGTATGAGAAGAACAACTTTGGTTAGTAAAATCAAGTAATGTCCTTTTCTTATAATAAATTTTCTCTTCTTTTTTGGGATTGCAACTGTATCTAATGCTGTTTCTTTTTCTTCTTATAGTAGGCTGGGCTGGAACAAAAATGCAATGAAAGAAACACTGGATGAATGAATGAAAAGCCCTGCTTTGCAATCCCTCAGCATGGCGGGACTGCAGCTCATGACCCCTGCTTCCTCCCCAATGGGTCCATTTTTTGGACTACCATGGCAACAAGAAGCAATTCATGATAACATTTACACGCCAAGAAAATATCAGGTACTAGTGATAGTACTAATAGAGTAATGTTAAAAAAAAGTACAATTAAATCCATTAATGTAATGGAAAAAGAGCCAGAGCAGGTGGAGAATGTGCAGTGTTGCACACTGCCTAAGCATGTCTCTCCCAACTCCACGTGTTGGGAGTTAATTCTTTAGTTTGACTTTGCTCTACATTTGTTATATTCCCATTCCCTCTTCTCAGTTTTCTTTAATGAGCAGAACAACATTTAAGCTGAGTATTCTCCTACTCTCTGCAGAATGCTGTTACGGACAAACAGAGTAAACTGTGACTCTCAACTGTATGCACACATCATGTCTCCTTCCCCTATCTTATGTCTTCTATGTAGTAAATTTTGGTTTTTGGTTTACAGACAGGTCAAAGCAGCTCTGTAAAGTCAGAAACCTCTTCAGGTTACCTTGTTTTTCACTTTAACATAAACTGTTTCTGAGTTCTAGAGTTTCGCTGCAGAGGTGCCCGAAAGCCAGCATTTTGTTAGTATTACTGAGGAGCTTCAATCACCTTGAGCTAGTGTACTTGCTTATTTGGCTGCATTGGTATATGCAATTAGATTGAAAAGCTGTAGCTTCTTCACACAATGTATCTAGTAGCAGAATCATCTATTAAAAAGATATAGTTAGAAAGCTACCTGAGAACAAATTGTGGCACTGAAGGATTTTAGATTTAGAAGCTGGACTATATATAGTGTGCTAATATTTTTTAAAGATTGTAACAGTACATTGTTATGAAAGAGAAATGTTAATTCTGTGGCAGTGTAAAGATCTCGGGATCGAGGTACTACTGACTTGTCTATAGTTTATTTATCACTTGTGTTATTTTTTTGTCAGCTTTTTCACTGCATTGCTGCAAGTAAGGACATTATTATTTTTTAAACCTAGGTTGAACTGCTTGAAGCAGCTTTGGATCATAATACAATAGTCTGCTTAAACACTGGCTCAGGGAAGACTTTTATTGCAGTACTACTCACTAAAGAGCTGTCCTATCAGATCAGGGGAGATTTCAACAAAAATGGAAAAAGAACTGTGTTCTTGGTCAACTCTGGTAAGACAAAAAGTTCCTAAACACACTACTAGTATTTCCATGGAATATTCTGGAACAGATGTTGTCTGATAGCAAACTGGGAGAAACTTTTGCATAAAGTCTTCAACAGCAAGGATGTGATACCTTTAATCTTTTGTTTATAATCACTTTAATATAAACTTTTAGTATATATTGCATGTTTTGTTTGCTAGTTTAAAGTTAAGACATTGAATCTGAAGTGCAATTTAGTTACTGATCTCTTTCCTTGATGTGGTTTTGCATAAATACAGTTGCCATGTACACCTGTTTTAACATTAGTCTAAGATAAAGATCCTGTTATAAAACCTAGTGCTAGGTAATATGACACACATCTTGAAAATCAGTGTATGGAAAGACCTTTATGTGAATGAGATTTATTTTTTTTTCTTAAGCAAATCAAGTTGCTCAACAAGTGTCAGCTGTCAGGACACATTCAGACCTTAAAGTGGGAGAGTATTCAAGTTTAGAGATAACTGAATCATGGACAAAAGAGAAGTGGAGTCAGGAATTCTCTAAGCATCAGGTAATGTATTAAGTATAAACTATAAGCTAAATGTACAGTGGGTTAGGCTGGGTCAGAATTGATTTCTTCCAATTATACGTTCAGTCTTTTCTAAAAGAAATGCAGCATATTGGTAGTATTTGTGTATTAATTTTGAGACAAAACATGTAGGCATTATGAGGTTGCTTTTAAAAAGCTGTCCTTTTAGTCTTTTGTTTTCAGTCTCCTGGACTTGTAGTTCATGATGATGATTTAAGAAGATATTTTGAGTGTGCATGCTATACCTTAAATGCCATTAAAATTTTGTTAAATATTAGGTTAAAAATATGATAAAATTGAATGTTCTCTGGGGATGCAGAACATTGACATTTTATTCCTGCTTTTTTAAGTACACTACTTCTGTGTACTTGTCTTTATAGATGGAAAACCATTAGCTTTAATGTAACAATTTCCTTGGTGGTTCTTTTTTTCATTATTTTTTTTTTTAAGGTGACCTACGTATCTTGCAGGAATGCAAATATTTCTAATTTCTGGATTTTTCTCTCTGGCAGTTAATAGTGGTCTATGAAATATGTCTGAGTAACTCTGACAGGAGAAAGTGGAGTTCAAAGTTAGTGTAAAACTTGTGCATAATTTTATCAAGATTTTTATCTGTGTCAGTGTACAAGAAATAAGTTTTTCTTTTAAAAGAATTGTGATAACATCCTGGTTTTGTTACAGCTGCAAATGGTTGGAGGCTTATGAAGAACTGTCTTTCTTGCTAGAGACATGATGATGGGACACATAAGGGACACTAACTTATGAATTTAATGATATTTGTTTTGTGTAGTCTGACTACTGGTGTTGATATTGTCTGTTGTATTGTTTTTTCTAGGCATGTGAATATATATAATCTATATATATAAACCCCTTCAGACAGATTATTCTCTCCTGTAGAGAATGTTTTATTCTCTTTTGTCCTTACCTGGTGTAGGTAGATGAGTAGGCATTGATATTTGCTAATGTTGTGTAACAAGACCTGCAGAAGGCTTTCCTCCTTCACCTTGGTCTAAGACAGCTGATACTTTTCTTGTACTGACACAGGTTTTTTTCCTTTCAATCTAGGTTCTGGTTATGACATGTCACGTTGCTTTGACTGTTCTGAGAAATGAGTATTTATCCCTGTCTAATATTAATCTTCTGGTGTTTGATGAGTGCCATCTTGCAATCCAGGATCATCCATACCGTGAAATTATGAAGGTGGGCTTCCATTGCTTGAAGGTTTTAATACTTGGTTGAGAAGGAGAAGTCGGTGGAAGGGCTGGGGAATTGGGAACCATTTAAGGCAACTTTTTCTACCAAGGAAAAATATTAGTGGAACTGTATGTTAGCATGTTCTGATACTGTGAAATTACTGCAATGAGTTAAGACTTCAGTGATATTAAAAGATAGAAAAATAATGTATTTACCGTATTTTATAGTGGGGATTAAAGAAAAATCTGGCATTAACAGCGAAGCTAAATTTATGGAATTAGGGGAATTTTTTTAATTCGTTGATAAAATATTTGAGTTCAGGAATGGTATGTACTAATAAATTTTTATTATTTTTAAAATACTGATTTCTAGAGATGTTTCTAGGACTCTTTCCAGAATATTTTTGGCTCCATGTGATATTTGGCTTATAAGCGAAAGGCATAATAAATGTATTTTCAAATCTCTCTTCAAATGCATGTGCCTTTTTATATGGTGTGGAAGTATGATATATATTGTGTCACGAGAATATTTTGTATAATGCTAACTGTTTATATTTTTTTCTACATTGTAAATATTTACCTTTAAATATGATGGCTGTTAAATGTTGTTCAGTGTTTAGTTTAACTTCCAGTCAGTAGAAGAGAAAATATTAATTCGAGGTTTGGTTCCTTTTGCAACACCTGGTATTGAAATAAAAATTTCCAGCCTAAGCATCTTAAGTTTGCAGTTTGCTAACTCGATAGTAGGTTTTCAGGATAACTGTCCTAAGGAATTTGATTTTACTTCACAGATCTGTGAGGATTATCCATCATGTCCACGAATTTTGGGATTAACAGCTTCCATTTTAAATGGGAAATGTGATCCTGCTGAGTTAGAGGAGAAGATCCAGAAACTGGAGAAAATTTTAAAGAGCAATGCTGAAACTGCAACTGATTTGGTGGTCTTAGACAGGTGTGTTCTATAATTAGAGCTGTTAAATTGATGCTTGCATATTCATTTTGGAATAAACCAGTAGCAATATTTACTCTTAAATTTTAGAAAAGTTTGTGTGTATGTGATGCCACTACTTCTACTTAGGGCAGAGATGGAATGTTCAATGGCTTTTTGAGTACAAAGGCTGATTGGCCTTGATATTCAGAGATTTTCTGTAGTTGTTAAAAAAACAAAACCAAAAAAAGTTAAAAAAGACATCAAAACAACTGAAAAAAACCTCAAGGAAAAAAAAAACCATCCCAAAGCAACAAAAAAACCCCAACACACCACCAGCCTTAAAAATTCACATTCCATTAAATATTTCTGAACTTGCAAAACGCACTCTTATGTTTGGAGTGTAACTGGTTTGTGTCCAGTATATGCCATAATGTTTCTATTTAGAAAAATGTTGCAACATCCACAGTACAATATGTTCTTAATATGGAGAAGTTGCCTTTTTTTCTTTTTTTTCTTTTTTTTTTTTTTTCCCCCGAATGAGTAGCCTGGATTTTAAGGGCTGATGAAAGGCAGAGAGAGATGAGAGGAAGTGGTAAATACTTAAGTAGCAGAGGAAGTGAGTTACAGAATCTAGAATCCTGTGAATGTTATTTAAAATAAAGGTAGTGGTAGTGTAATGACTTTTTGTAGGGGAAAATTAGGGTGATTTCCATGTATTTTATTTTCTTGCACCAGCTGTACTGCATTGTTGAGTTTCAGACAAAGTTTTTAAAGTGGTTTTTTCATGTTCTGGAACAGATGTGTGTGTGTGAATGTTTTAAATGCATTTTTCTGAACTTGTGTGATGTGAACCATTAGCTTTTAAGAAAATTTCACTGCTATTCAAGAGTATTTTACTTGTGTAAACATAGATATATAGACATAAATTTACAGTATGTGGATTGGTTTTGTTTTGCATATGAAGAGAGTACACTTTGGAAAAACAAATGAAGATGGTGGTCAAGGAAATTCAGTTTATTTTACCTTGAATTCTGCAATATTTGAAATGAGGATAGCAATATTAACCTTTTTAGGAGTGTATTAGGACGAGCAGTATTTTAGAATGAAGTAGTTCAATATTTGGGGTGGTGGAGGTTTTTCTCTACTAAAGTATTTAGGTGTATAACTACTAATCATTAGTAATTCATGGTGGGGAAAGAAATGCTCTTGAATACATGTCATGTTGCTGTTGTATTTGATGTATAACCTTAAGAGGGTGAAAAAGTTGTGACTTTCAGAAGCTGTGTTTATTTAACTTGTTCTTTGCCCTCATTAAGATATGCTTCTCAGCCGTGTGAGATTGTTGTAGACTGTGGACCATATACTGACAAAAGTGGGTTGTATGGAAGATTATTAAAGGAATTGGATGAAGCACTTGCTTTTCTAAATGACTGCAACATATCTGTACATTCAAAAGAAAGAGATTCTACCTTAATTTCTAAGCAGGTAAGGATATCAAGCTATGTGAGAAACCTGGGGAATAGGAATCTTACAATTGTATGTTACATTACTGAAACCTCCTAACCCAGACATTCTAGACTGTCTGAGCCAAAAGATTTCTGATTGTTGGATTCACTGACAGTGCAGGTCTTTTCATAAATGAGTGGGACTTGAATGTTAGCCATTGATTAGAACTTCATCTGGTTTGAGATTCAGATTTGCTTAAAGCACTGAAACAATTCTGCACCCTGATGTTGTGGGTCCTCATCTCTGAAGTAAAAAATTTGACATCTTCACAATCTCCTTTGACCTCTGAATAATTCAGTATGGAAGAGGAAATAATGCCTAAGGAAGAATTTGGACTGTACCCAGTTGTATTAAGAGTTGATAGGAAGAATTCAGGCAAAAATTCCAGCCATAGATGTACAATGTCTTCAGTTTATCTTAGAACAACACTGGACTAGTGCCACACCTCTGGGATGGAATTTGAATCTCAAGCTTGCCCCTGGCTTTCTCTGTGTTTGCCCCTATGTTGTCATGCCAGATGGCAGAGTATAATCCAAAAGGTGTGGTGTATTGAGCTGTCATGCTTGGGGTCCACGCATGGTTTTTTTCCCCCACTTGGGCTTTGTGGTTTGGAATTGCTTCCCAAGTTACAACTATGTAGGTGTATAAGTCTTTGAACAAGAAGTCACTAGTGAGTCAGATTCCCATAATAGTCCATGAGAAAGGTGGAAAATGTATTTTTTTCTTCAGCCCAAAGTATTAAAGTTTCCTTTAACATTCTTAGAAACTGAGGACTTTGATGCTGGTCCATAAAATACTATTTAAACCAGAGGGAAAGATGGTACATAAGGCAGCCTAGCACAGCTGCATGGGAAATGGAAGTCCTGATTACTTTTGTGCTAAACTTAAAATGTATTAGGCTAAAATATATAAGGAATGCTGGCTGAAGGCAGTCTCCATGACTTGCAGAGTCCAGGAGAGTGGATTAGCTGATAGATTTCTAAAGCTTTAACCCTCTGTGCTTGTTTTCTGATCGGGTAGCTCTCCTAGAAGATGGAGGCATCCATATTAGGAAAAAGAAATGAGTTTCAGCCTGAGGTGCTTTTTATCTTGGCACTGGAGAGTATCCAGCCTCTATATGTAGTTGCAATTAGTTCAGATGATTTTGCCTTTAAGTCCTACAACTAACAGACTTCACAGAGGATAGTGTAAAGATGATAGCCAGTTCTTTGCTTTGTCACAGAAGGGAGGAAGAAAGGAAAATTAAAGCAACAACTATCATCCTGACTGTTACAGTTGAATTTTAGTTCTTCTGTTGTAATTTAGGACATCCAAATGAATCTTTTTTTAAAAGACCATCAGCTAAGATGATGGTACTCAAGTGCCTATGCTGTTTTCTCTGAATAGGGTATAGTTCTCTCTTTTTCCTATTCCACTCACACACAAACCACTGTGTTTTGTTTTTCCTTTGAAAGGGTAGACTTGCTAAGGCCAATGTACAACTTTCTGGTTATACACTTTTGAAACCCTGCCAGCTATCAGTAACAAATAAAGTAAAAATGCCCAGTAAAGTGTTTATTTTATAAGTTCTGTGTTATATATAAAGGATTAGAATTTCTGCTGCCTGAAGAAGTATTCTTCTTATTAGTATAATTATCTTAGGGTAAATTTCAAATTACAGTTCCACAAAATTGCAAAATATTGACTAAGCTTGGGGTTTTCTTGAGATTCAGAAATGTACAGAATTTGAAGTTGATTGATGGTAATTTAAGAGGAAGGGGGAACTTGCTCCATTAGAAACACCAAAGTTCCCAAGGTCATGTAAATAACAAAAGCAGACTTCTGCATATTTTTATAACAAAACAATTGTCATAATTGTTACAAAGATTGTACTGTAAGAGAAAAAAACCCCTAGTCTTAAATGAATAGTTCATGAATGTACTCTTTGAACTGATATTTGAATTCATTTGTTGTAGATATTGTCAGACTGTCGAGCTGTGTTGGTTGTTCTGGGACCCTGGTGTGCAGATAAGGTAGCTGGGATGATGGTGAGAGAGCTGCAGAAGTATATCAAACATGAACAAGAGGAGCTGCACAGGAAATTTTTATTGTTTACAGACACTTTCCTAAGGAAAATACATGCACTCTGTGAAGAGCACTTCTCGCCTGCCTCACTTGACCTAAAATTTGTGACCCCAAAAGTAATAAAGCTGCTTGAAATCTTGCGCAAATACAAACCATATGAACGGCAGCAGTTTGAAAGTGTTGAATGGTATAACAATAGGAACCAGGATAATTATGTATCTTGGAGTGATTCTGAAGATGATGATGAGGACGAAGAAATTGAGGAGAAAGAGAAGCCAGAGACTAATTTCCCATCTCCCTTTACTAATATTTTATGTGGAATTATTTTTGTGGAAAGAAGATACACAGCGGTTGTTCTAAATAGGTAAAGCTTTTTATTTTTAAAAAAAATATTCTGAAGAAAAAAGGCAGAATCAGCTGCCAGGATAATATCATGAATATCTTGTATTTTCAGAACTCTATCTATAAAGTTGGTTTAGGAGATCATTCTGGATCTATGTAAAGCAGGTGGAGTGGATGGGAAGAGCATGTGTCTTTGAAAATTGTACTCAAGGGCTTGTTTCAAACCTGAGTTTGTAGTTTCATTCCCTTAGAAGGCAAAATGTGAAATACTGTATGGAACCTCTAAAATAGGCATATACTGTTCTGTCTTAATCAGTCTTTAAATTTATATTTGCAATGGATGTTGGAAACTTCTCTAGCTTACTGAGTGCAATACTTCTGGAAATTTTACCATTACCCTACTAAATCATAGTATTATATGATCCAAGTCTACAGAAAACCAAATTCACCCTTGCACAAATATCTCTTAAGATTTACCAGTATTGCTTTCAGAGTTGGTGTTTGTAAAATGCCTATTCAGTCAAATACTGAGTACTTTCTTACAAGTCTCCACCAAGAAAAATATGAACCTGTGAGTATTTGCCAATTTGCAATACTCTAGTTCCTTATCAGTTCGTGTTCCTGAATGTGCTTCGTGTTAGTTATATATGACACTTAATTGTTAAATGCTGTTTGCCACAAACTATGAATTACGTGATTTATTCCTCTATCCTGATTTTGTTTTTCAGTAGGTTTCTCAGATAGTGTAATAAATGTCCTGTGCGAGGTGTTCCTTGCATTCTGGATACCTCTGAATCTGACCCCTGCGTTGATACATTTTTGCCCAAGTCAATAGTTTGAATGAATAACATACTCTTTGATCTGCCAACTTGCCTATGTGTGTTTTCTCAACTTTATCTTTTCTCTTTGCCTTTTTTTGCATTTTCAAGTATGTTCACATAAATCTGCAAATATGAGGCAAACTAAGCTGTTCGGTGAAATGAACATATTCTGTTAATAACTCCTGAAGAAATAACATTAACAGAATCTGATAACATTTTTACTGAGCTGAAATGAGTATTTCATTGCCCTGCATGGAATGAACAGAACTGGGAAAACGTTATTCTTCTCTGTTAAATTATGAATATGATTTAAATCATACTGGTTTTCCACTGTATGTTCTTGTAGACAGTGATTTGTACACTATGCACTATCCTAACTGCTGTTGAACCTGACAGAATATGATGTCTAGATGAAATAGGTAACCAAATTCTGACATTTTTAACCTCACCTTGGGTTGAGGTTATTTGCTGCAAAATATAAAACTGTATGTAACTTTTTGTCCCCTTCTCAAAGCTGGCTACCAGACTCTCAAAATGCTCCTTCACCTCGTGTAATACATGATCTCAGAATACACGGTTGACCATCAGACCTGTGCTGTTGGAATTAAGACTGGAAGCCTTCAGTGGAGAACCTCACTATAGGCTTATTTGAGTGGAGTGGATTTAGTTCAGGGCCTCTGATGATGATAATTAATATATAGGGGAAAGATTGCTTCCCGAATGAGACAGTCATGAGTGTTTGAATTAGTGTATCACAACTACTTCAGCTTCTAGTAATCCAGTATGGATTGTTCAATAGAACTAAGTTAGAAATAGAACTTTTCTTAAAATGTATTTACTATGGTAGTATTTAGAGATTAGAATACCATTTTATAAAATCCATGATGACTGAGGAAAGACAAGATTCATGGCATGTATTTGTACTTTCTGGGTCTTTGACTATTATTACACTCAACTAATGGAGTGGCTCAGTTATTGTTTAATTTGGTGTATACAGTTGAGTTCTGGTGCCTATACACTCCTTTTCAGAAGAGAAGGCATTTTCTAAAGCCCAGTTTCCTTCCATTTGCATTGCTGTACCTCTCAACTCCCTTAGGGAGAGGTTGGAAAGCAGAAGTTCTTGTATCTATTTGAAGAACAGTACCTGTTACCTACCACAAATACTTACTTAATCTCAAGGTTGAAGTCTTGAATGTTTCTCAGTAACTTGCCAAAGATGTGCACAGTGAAATGTTTATTCAGATGTTTTTAATTGTCCATTTCTATAACAAATAAAATTAAGTAAGAATGTTTGAGATGCTTAGTAGGTAATCAATCTATATGACCTGACAGAAATGCCATATGAAAAAAGAAATATTAAAAATCCCAGGATTTCTGGCCAGTTATTAACCCATACTTTCTTAGTATGTCTTTCTCAAGAGCCTAGAGACTGGATAGAGAAATGTAACTCTATTTAGCCTTGAACTAACAAATCACATTTGCATTTTAGCACAGGATGATCCTTATAGTCTATTTCCAGAAGGATGCCGAACTATTCGCCACTTTTCCATCTTCTTGCCTATACTCCCTTTCCATTCCAGTTTTAACAGATGGCAAAGGGAGGAAGTCTTCAAGGTGTTTTATGTTCCCATAGATTTTGTTAGAAATAGGGACCAGGAAAGGGGGCAAGACTTCAGTAGTTTTTCAAGGGTAGAAAGAGCAGGGAGAACTTTGCCGTTTTCCATCTGGTTTGGCAGCAGCTCACTGGGCAGATGGTAGGCATGTAGCTGGGGACTGGCACAGCACCCATCTACTTATATATGAGACAGAACTGCTAGGGATTTATCTGGGAAAGGTTGGAATTGCTGTTGGAGGTGTACAGAGGCATGGTGTTCTTTGGCTGTGAGGAGCACCTGACAATGGACACGATGCATGTGCTGTTGAGCAAAGTAGTACTGCGATGGCTATAGTGAGACATGCAAGGGATCTAATTTTTGGGTATTTTTATTTGGATCTGCTGCTCAAAAGCCTGTTACAGTTGAGAAGTCCCAGATTCTGTCCATCCTGAAAACTGATCAACTAATGTTGCTACAGTGTACTTAGTTTGATTGCACATGGTAATGGTGGTTTTAAATCCATAAATGTCTCATTCTAGATTTAGCGCATTATTTGTACAAGCAATCTTCTACCTTGTCTTTGAAATCAGAAGACTGCAGAAAGCAGTCTTTCCTGCTTCTGTAACCTGAAGAATAAACTGAGGGTAAATAAATTGAGAGCATGGATGCTTCTCACATCCCTGTTCAGTATTGCTTTTAAAGCATTGGATTAAATTCTCTGAGTTAATTTCACAATTAGTGAATTTCTCACTGGGTAGGCTGATCATTGCTCTTTAGAAAAACAGGTCAGTATTTTGTCACCAGTATATACTTGAACAGGATATATCTTCTAATATTAAGTAGAATTGCAATATTATGTTTTAACCTAAAATTTAATATCTTACACTGAGGAAACATACTTTGTTGAGGAAGCAGTTACAGGTCTGTCTTCTAAAATCAAGCACAGTTAACAGAAGAAGAGATAAACAAAAGCAATTGTAAGTAGGGTGCTTTATCAGCAGGGAGCCTTAGAGTAATAGATTGGTTTAAAAATATCTAGTTTTACTGTGATGGGTCTGAAATGTGTGTGATGCAGGGCCACTCATGCTGTATAGGTATGCAGTCTGTCTTGTGTTAACCTTACAGAGCTTTTTGAGAAGACTGCAGTAAGTTTGTGTTAACGTGGCTTAATTGTCATGCTTCCACTTTTTCTTTTAATGTAGGTCTTAAAAACCTTAAGATTTTCTTCCATTTTCTGGGTTGTGTGACTTCTAAAAACACGTGTAATATTTTTAGGTTGATAAAAGAAGCTGGCAAGCAAGATCCAGAACTGGCTTACATCAGTAGCAATTTTATAACTGGACATGGCATTGGCAAGAACCAGCCTCGTAACAAGCAGATGGAAGTAGAATTTAGAAAACAGGAAGAGGTAACTTCAAGAAAAAAAATTTAAATTAGCAGTACCTTCAGAACTTTTTGTGTGTGTGTGTGTCTTTAAAAAGCAAAAAAAGCCAACAGGCAGAATCTGGGGCAAAGTCATGGGAAGTTCAGGGAATACCTTTGGTTTAACAAATATGCACACTTACTGGAGATACAGATGTTGTTCATAAAAATAGTAACAACGTGTTTAGAGATGTTGGTATGTCATGTTACACAAACAGAAATTAAAACTTCACATAAAATCATGTTTGTGTCTAGTCAGATCTAATTTTTCCACATTTGTGTAAGTGGTAACATAGTAATACTGTAAAGAAAATTAAGGTTGCTGACATATTGCAGTAGTTAAACTGGTTTTAATATTTATCTTTTATAAAAGTGAATTTCGTAAATCATTAAATGATATAAATATTAATAAACCCCACGATTTTTAAATCAGTTAAAGCTCATCCCAACTGGGTTGTCCTCCTTAGTATTATTTTATATATAGTATAAATATCAGAAGTGCCAGCTCTAGAATATACTCTATCCCTGAAGATGCTTCAGCCTCAGAATGTTTGGGAAAAGATGCTGTCCTGAAAGCAGCTTTTTTTTTCCTTTTATACCACAACTGAAAAATTGTAAATAAATAGGGGGAATCCTCTCCATTGCTAGTGGCTATATTAGCTTCTTAGACTCATATGATTCCACATATCAGATTTGATTCCTAGAAATTTACTGGTTCTGTTAAATAGTCTTGTATTCCTGAAAAGATTTTTGTAATAGTTTTGCATTTGCATATTTAGAAATATTTTCGGAGTGTCTGACCATCTCACCTTTTTCTTATTGCCTTTTGTTGAATCTCATGTTGGAAACAGATCTTGGACTAATTTCTCAAATTTATCTTCATTACTTTTGCAGGTTCTTAGAAAATTTCGAGCACATGAAACCAACCTACTTATTGCTACTAGTATTGTAGAAGAGGGTGTTGACATACCAAAATGCAACTTGGTGGTGCGTTTTGATTTGCCCACGGAGTACCGCTCCTATGTGCAGTCAAAAGGAAGAGCCAGAGCACCAATTTCCAATTACATTATGTTAGCAGATACAGACAAAATCAAAAGTTTTGAAGAAGATCTTAAGACATATAAAGCAATTGAGAAGGTATGAGGGCAGATGAATGGGCCTGGTCTGGTTAAATGTTTCATAGTACTTTTTAAGGGAAAAATTTCTCATGTTCTGTTCTTGAAATGTTAAGATCCTCAGAAACAAATGCTCAAAATCTGTTGATACCAATGAAACTGAAACTGAACCCATTGTTGATGATGATGATGTATTTCCACCCTACGTATTGAGGCCAGATGAAAACAGTCCAAGAGTTACTATTAACACTGCTATTGGACACATAAATAGGTAAGAGGCATATTTAATTTTTACTTCATGTCTTTGAATAAAAAGTTTCTTAATCTGTCTCACAACATGGAAGCATAGGCTGAGGCATTTTACACATTTCCTCTTAGGCATTTTGACAGGATATGCTCTCCCAAAGAAAGTGGTCACAGCAATTTGAAGGCATTATTTGCTATTTTTATCTTTATCCTACCAGAGGTTCTAGCACTGATAGTAACTGTAGTGATAATGATCCCTGTTTAATTAAAAGCTTCCCTGAAAACATAGTTTCAAAATGGGTAGTAAGATTGGTTTTTTTGCTTGTCAAGCTAGTTTTGAAAATAAATAAATAAAAGAACTGTTGAAACTGTAGTTAAATCTTCCAGTTCTAATATTCACATTTGTAATAGCAGTCTGTTGTCATCTTTAAAAAACAAATCACAGTAATAAAGGTGAACATAATAAAAGTCCACAAGACAGGATGGTATGCTTTCAGGGGAGCTGGTCAAGTATCAAGTTTGTAAGGCCAAGACAACTAGAGGAGGTTCTTAGTGACAGGAAGACGTAGATGTTATTAATACTTCAAAAAAAAAAAGGCAAGTAAGAAGATCCAGGGAGCTGTGGACTGGTCAATGTAACCGTAGTCATACGGAATAATATGGACCAAGTCCTCATCACAGCAGTTTCTAGGCATGTAAAGAAAATGGGGTTGGCAGAAACCAACCAGGCTTTGCTGGGGGCAGTTTTTGAGCAACCAGACTTCTTATCTCCAGTGTGGTTGATTATGAGAAGCCCTGAATGTCATTTACTTAAGTAAAGCTTCTGATGCAATTGCCAAAGTGCCTTAGTAGCTAAATTCTTGAGATGCAGACCATTTTGATTGACTGCCTGGTAAATAAAGCCTGTCAAAAGCAGTCACATTTGAAGGGTGAATGGTAGATAGTAGATGGTTCAAAAGCTGTCTGGCAGCTGGTTATATGTGGCATTACTCCTCTATTGTTAAGAGGTTCAGCATAGTTTAACATCAGCGTGTTTGCATTTAATACTAAGTTGGGAGAGAGGGAAGTGAGTACAAGGGAGGAAAGGCTACTGTTCAGAGGGAAAACCATGACAAATAGGAGGAATAAGGCAATAGAAAAAAAAAATCAGGAGACAATGAAAAACCTGGGACCTGAGATGAGATAGACCTGTGCATCATTACAACCTGGGAATGACCTTACTATGGAGACCTGGTGTATATTAAAGGAATTGGAGGTCTTCTGCTCAGTAGTTAGTTGAATATTTGTCAGCAGTGTACCTTTGCAGTGGCCAGTATGGCCTGAAATCATCTTCTGTAACATCCACACCAGTAAGGCAAGGTTCCACTGAAATGTGTTTAGACTTCAATTTTCAGGTTTTGATGATCTGTAAAATGTTTTGTCAACTTAGGTACTGCGCTAGATTACCAAGTGATCCATTTACACACCTAGCTCCCAAGTGTAAAACCCGGGAACTACCTGACCATACGTTTTACTCTACTCTCTACCTGCCAATCAACTCACCTCTTCGAGCTTCAATTGTTGTAGGTATTTGGGGAAGAAAAAGCATGGAAATAAGCAAATATATTGGTCTAAGAACTGGTCTGTGCTGTTTCTAGAATTAGTATCATAGTTGTTAATGAAAATTTTTTCCATATTGTGCTCTGTAACTGTATTTAGGTCACAGTTTATTTCTATTATAATCCATTTTCCATCACTTACTGTTTATACCAAAGGCAAAAATATTTAGATATTCTTCCAGGGCCTTGTTGTTTCACACATTTGTCCTGTATTGTTTTTGATTGAAACTGTGTCGAGTTCTTGTAACTTTGGTTTTTGTGGAAAAACAGCGTAATCCTGAATATCTTCATAAAACTGCTATCAATGCATTTTTTAAAAAAAACTTTGCTTACCTAATATGCTTGTGTGAAACTAATTAAACAAGTATGGTAAGTAATGTGCTAATCAACCAAAGTTTTGATGAAGTATTTAAATGTTTATAGGGTCCTCCAATGAGTTGTGCAAGACTGGCTGAGAGAGTTGTAGCTCTTATTTGCTGTGAAAAACTGCACAAAATTGGTAAGAACTGAAAAAGCAACCTCTTTGGTAAAGTATGTTTTACAGTTGAGAAATTGCGTACGGTGTAGATGATATATATGATGATATATGGTATATACATGCATTTCTGCTGTAGCCATCTATTGTAGCTTTCTTTTCCTTGCCTTGTTTTGTAATATGATCATGTACTTATCAATTTAGCTTAGATCTTATAAGCTAAAGTTAAATTTTCCAGGGAAGTCTTGTTATATAACCTATTTTGTCTTAAACAGCAAAAACAAGATTAGTACAAGAGACACAGATTTTGCCACTGAATATACTTATTAAAAGGGAAATGAGTCTTGTTCTCTAGAAGATATTGATTATAGGTCAGAAACTATATCCTGCAACCAAAAGATAACTTGCCTTTTAAAGTGAATTCTGACAAATTAAAAGATATAATACACAATCCTAAATTTATTGTTTTCTGTACTGTATCATAAGTCATGTTCCAAAAAAAGTACATTGAGGGACTACTTCAGCTCTCTTGTCTCTAGTAAGTATAATGGAGCGTGTTCTTCGCTGTGTAAAATTTTGAAGAGAATTCCATGTTATGAGTTTTTTTGATGAAGTACAGAAGTAGTTATGTATCTTTTAAGTAAAAAAAATTGTAGGTCTGGTGTTTATATTTTATTTCTGAATTAAACCCTTTGATCACTGAATTCATACCGATAAATGTATCCAAGAATAACACCCTAATGGCTCAACCCGCTGTTGAGAGTGCATATTCTACAGTAGTAATTAACTGTTTAGAATGATAGAGAAGTATAACTGTTCCCTCTTGGCATAACTCCACATGAGTGATTTTTAAATTAGTATTTCAGTCAAGGATTGCCTTTTATGGCCAAAAAGAATTCATTGGGTTTTGATATTTTCATTATAGAATTCAGTTTTTTAATTTCAGTGGGTTTTACTGTAAATGAGTATTTTTGCCCAAAATTCAGTCTTTATCACTCTTTCCCCAAAGTTCTGCTTTTGGAGCCTTGTAGGAGTGTGTGTATTTTAAAAACTTATGTGAGGTGTTTTCATGAGCAATCTCATCTGATGTGTAGGATGTGAAGGAACCAAGATTTGATTGTTCATAATGCTATTTCTTCACTCTCTTTCATAATAATCAGGTGAACTGGATGATCATTTGATGCCAGTTGGTAAAGAAACGGTTAAATATGAGGAGGAACTTGATTTACACGATGAAGAAGAAACCAGTGTTCCAGGAAGGCCAGGCTCTACAAAAAGAAGACAGTGCTATCCTAAAGCTGTTAGTATCACTCACTGCTGTCCACGCCTCTGATCAAATGCCTTATGTACTGATGAGACAGAATTGCTAACTCTTAATCGTATTTTTTACAACATGTCTTGCATTTATATTGAAAATATTTTGCAGTTTAAATTCTGTGTAAAATTGCACTGTTACCTGAATTTATGGTACCACATGTTTTGGAAGCATATATGTAAGTTCAAGGAGCATACACTTTCTGTAGGGCTGGTTGACTGTATTAGCCTGGTATGAAAATAAGTGTGAGGAAAATTGTCCTGCATTAATAATCTGTAAAATATTTACCTTCTCTGGCAAATGCACTAGAGCAAAGGAAGAATTACTGGCTTTCTAGACAAGGAGATGCACAGGGCTAAACACAGAAATAGGTGGAGTTTTTTTAAGATGCTTGGTTTAATTTGGGAAGTTTACCAATTGAACACAATTTCATAACTTCTGGTTTAAATCTCAGTATATCAAATAAGTATACTTTTACTATTTTTTCATTTTTAAAATAGTTCTAAATATTATACTTAATATACCAAAAGGTATACTACAGTGCTGCATTAAGTAACTTATCCACAGTTCTGTTGTAACAGACTTCAACCACATCAGTTTGTAGTGTTGGATTTCTTAAATGGTATGTATATGGGAATTTCAAATACTTTAAAAGTAAGGAAAAATAGAGGAAAAAAGCTGTGTCAGAGTATTTTGCAACTGCTCTGGAACCTTCCTTCTTCCCCTGCAATTGTTACAAGTTCTGTCTAAGGTCCTTCGAATAGGACAGGTACCTCATTCAGAATCTGATAATATGCATTTCAGGGAGAAACTGATAGTCTTTGTCATATGGAGGACTGTCAGCATGGACACCCACATTAGTGGGCTCTAGTGCTGTGTTGTACCTTCATGTGCAGCCTCAGTTATGGTGACAGCCCTTCAGTAATTCCATTCTTGCCATCTTCCACATGCCCCAATTTTATTAGTAGTTCCAGTAATCAGTTACTAGGAAAGTTTTGGGAAGGATACCATGGCATCACAGAGGGAATGACAGATGAGAAAACCTTTTTCGTGCAAGACTCCTCGAACACTTTGCATCTTTGCAGTGTTTCCTGATAGGTTGTTACAAGTACTTTTCTCTGTCCTCTTGCCTCACTAGTGATTGGGGTGACTCATAAAATGCAAGATTATTCTGTCTTGTTCAGGGGAGTTGATTTGTCTAGTGATGCATCATTCTTTCTCAGTTTTGGTGTTTTTTTTTTTAATAGGGAATCTAAGAATATTTTTCCTTGCTTTTGTCCCAGCTTTTCACATCTGGAAAAGAAGCTTTGGCAAATGTTTAAGGTCTCCAAGATCCTCTTGGGCTTAATGTAGTTATTAAACTTACGAGTAATTTTCCATTAAGTCAAGGCCATAGTTTTACTGCTGTGTAACTTTTTAAAATGCAGGACTACATGTATTGCAATTTAGTTTTAGACAAACAGGAGGATCAATTTTGAGACCTGCAAAGTAGTGAACTCCTACCAAACATAAAGCATGGTTTCTTAATGTCTGTGACAAATACAAACAATAGAGTTAAAAGTGCTGGTGGCTGAGTGTTCACATCTGTTATGAGAACTCATATAATGTTGTGCCTGGGCAAAGGGGCAGTCCCTTGAATTTTGTTTGTTTGTCCCAAGTGTATGAAAAACATTTTTGATACTTTTCAGTTCTGCTGGAAGAAGAATCTGTGTTAATGAAGCTGCAATGAAGCTTTATGTGAAAATTGAATTGCTGGGATGTAGGTTTTTTTGCCCCCCCCCCCAAGGTTAAGGTCCAAAGAGCTTGGACATAGTGTGCTCCAGAGTTACTGGTTAAGTACAGACATTGGCATCAACACTTCAGTTGTATTTATGGTATTTGTGTATTTAAGTGCTGCCTGTGTTCTACAGTTAAACTGGCATTTTTAAGACAGATTTCGTGGCTGCCATACCAGGCTGCTGACCAAACACTTTTGCTTAAGAAAAAAACACTACTTGAACCCAGATTAATTTTTTTTATTCCTTATTTTTAGCAATGCCTTTCCAAATCAACATGTGACACCTTGTTCAAAGAATAGTATTTAGGTGAACTTCGCTGATTTTTATTGTGTTAATGTTTTTTCTTTTTTTGATTTTTAGATTCCAGAGTGTTTGAGGGATAGTTACCCCAAACCTGATCAACCCTGTTACCTGTATGTAATAGGAATGGTGTTAACAACTCCTCTACCTGATGAGCTCAACTTCAGGAGACGAAAGCTATATCCTCCTGAGGATACAACAAGATGTTTTGGCATATTGACAGCCAAACCTATACCTCAAGTAAGGAAACTATTTCCTTTCCTTATTCTACATGCCTTACAACCTGTTGCTTTCCACTTGCTCCCCCCCAAGACTGAAGAGTTGGAAATGACCATGAGTACTGCTTGTATCTGGCAGCCTCAAGAAAATAAACAACAGTATCCATCCACTCAAGTCTCCACTTTTTGTGTTTATGGATAGAACTATCTGTTCTATTTTGGCCTTTTGTTTTACAAATTAATTTTTTAGGATTTTGCACTTGCAAATCCAAAATGTCCCTCCTTCTTTGTATGAGATATGACATATGAGGAGTTGACATTTCAGCTACAGAGATGGCCTACACCCCACTACCTTATCTATACAAAGGCTATGGTAACAACTCCTCAGCATTCCTGGTCTGCAACAGCAGCAGAAAAAGTTAGCCATGTTTATTCAAATTGACACCTCTTGCTTTGGAAAATTTTTAGTGGACATTTTCTGCTGGAGAGACTTAGTTGAAGAAGATTTTTTCAAATTGTATTTTTTGTTGTCCACATAAGAAAACATTTTTTCCTTCATAATAGAAAATACTGCCTTTTCTACCTACATTTTATAAAGAGAAGAGCTGTAAAGCACAAGGAGAACTATTTAAAAACCCGAACCAGTCATTCTTTAAGCTTTCAAAATCTCATCTGTAATTGAAGGTCATCACAGTTCAAAATTCTGATCCAATTTGATCCAGTTTGCTGTGGGGTCAGGCAAGCATTACTTCAGCATCTGAACCTAAACAGCCAGTACTCTGCAGAGGAATCCTACTCTGAATTGTCTTTTGTGATTTCTTTCGGTTTTGTTTCTTTAGATTCCTCACTTTCCTGTGTATACTCGCTCTGGAGAGGTTACAATATCTATTGAGCTTAAGAAATCTGGTTTTACTCTGTCTCTGCAAATGCTTGAGCTGATAACAAGACTCCACCAGTACATTTTTTCACATATTCTTCGTCTTGAGAAACCTGCACTAGAGTTCAAACCCACAGAAGCTGATTCAGCCTATTGTGTTCTACCTCTTAATGTTGGTAAGAACAAAAATTTTGTAATTTACAACTTCTCAGAAAAGTTCAGCCTGGAAAACTGAGTTGTGCATTTTCCTTTTTAAGTTGATGACTCCAGCACTTTGGACATTGACTTTAAGTTTATGGAAGACATTGAGAAATCTGAGGCACGTACAGGCATTCCCAGTACTCAGTATACAAAAGAAATGCCTTTTATTTTCAAGTTAGAAGATTACCAGGACGCAGTTATCATTCCACGGTGAGTACTCTATATTTAGGTATGTACTTATTGTATTTATACAAACACCTGTAATAAGGGAATGTTAGTATCTGCAGCAGAAATGCTTTTTATGAACTGTATGCCATTAATTTGAAGGTATCTGGTTGCGTCTCAAACAATTTAAAGATTTTTTTTTTAATGAGTAGTTAATCTTATATAGTAGGATTTAAGTGTTTAGGTCTCCCAAAACTCATTACCTTTTTATTAGAAATAGTAGAGCTCACCACAAAACTTAAGTAGTATTCTGATAAAACATTGCGACTTCATCAAGAGCTGGCCTACTGAAACTAATTTTCGTTTGGAAGATTGAGTGGGAGTCCTGTTCTCTGGTTAGTGCTTATTCACACCTAAGACCTGCTAAAGGAAGGTATGCTGCTGGAAGATGGGAAAATTACAAGTGGTAAAGACCAGTTAATAGAATCTTTATATTGAGTGGTATTCATTTTACATACTGGATATGCAAAGGTTCTCCAGAATTGGTAGGCTCTGTGGAGGCTTAATTGTTCCCTGTGGACTGACTGGCTTGTGTTGTATCTAGTATATTGTAAACAACAGTACTTGCTAAATATATGTAGAAGATAAATATAAGTAGTTTGTTTTGGCCTCACCTGTGTCAACATTTTTTGTTTGGTTTTTTTTTTATCCCCCCCCCCGGAAGAAGCTGAAAAGGTTCATTAATAGTGTGAAAATTTTATTTGGAGATATCTATTTAGATATTTGCATAGAAACTTAAAATGATAGATGCAGCAGGTCAAAGTATGAAATCACCTACTATGCAAATCTAATTACTGAATATTGATTTCATGATTTTTCATCATTAATATTATTTTCCTGTGCATGTTTATCACCATAGTTTCCAATGAGCATCAGTAGCTACAGTAAAGATGTTGCAGCATTCTGGCTCTAATTTCAGTCTTCTCTATTACAAGAACTGCATTGTCCTTGAAGGGCTTGTGAACTTACCTTGCTACATATTTGAAGTTTTGTATTCTGTTTGGGGGGTGACTTGGTTAAAAATGACAGTTTAGATGTGAGGTAGTACAATCTTTGTATGCACAGGAACTCTATTTGTACTGATGTAGAATACCACGTAGGAGACTAGATAATAAAAAGCCAGATTATCAAGTTTAATTCGTAGGTGTTTGGAATTAAGAAATTATAATTTGTAGCATTACGGTTGTCCAGAGCTTGATTTTTCTATTGCGTATTGAAGACGTAGATCCTCCATTTAATTTAAATGTTTATCTGTAGAGGGAATTTCACAGATTATAGATTGACTTTATTTGTCCTTATCATAGAGCACGTCTCATTTAATATTTGAGTTAGCTAAACAAATGATTTCTACAACAAAAAAGAAAGCCACCAAGCAAAAATCTCAAGTGAACTGTTTAACTATAACTCCTGACCACATTAGAACACAAGGAACTTAGCAAAGGCTTTACTGTAATGCCAAAATATTATTTTTTTTTTTAGGTATCGAAATTTTGATCAGCCTCATCGATTCTATGTAGCTGATGTGTACACTGATCTTACTCCACTCAGTAAATTCCCTTCCCCTGAATATGAAACTTTTGCTGAATATTATAAAACAAAGTATAATCTTGACCTAACCAATCTCAACCAGCCACTGCTGGATGTGGACCACACATCTTCAAGGTAACAACAGTCATATTTGTCTGATGTTTGTAGTTTGACAGTAAAATGCTTTTTTTTTCTCTTAAATTACGGGATAAAGCTGAGGGCTTGTGTCCTCCAAAATAATTACCGATTTTCTTTTTCTTGAGACCTACCTAACTTATGTAAAACCAATTATAACTCAAGTCCATTTTTTCCCATATGTAATTGTGCTGTCACTTCACAGCACATTGAAATTGAATACTAAGAAAAGTCATCACTTTAGAAAGTTTAGGCTTGTAAGTTCTGTTCATGAATTATGTACTTACATCACAGTATTTTCACATGGTTTTTAGACTTAATCTTTTGACTCCTCGCCATTTGAATCAGAAGGGAAAGGCACTTCCACTAAGCAGTGCTGAGAAGAGGAAGGCAAAGTGGGAAAGTTTGCAGAATAAGCAGGTAAAATAGAAGTATCTAATTCAAGTGGACTCCTTTAATAGTGATCTGAGAACTTTACAAGGAAAATTCTTTTCTTCCCCCCTCTCCCCAGATACTGGTTCCTGAGCTTTGTGCTATACATCCTATTCCAGCATCATTGTGGAGAAAAGCAGTTTGCCTCCCCAGCATACTTTACCGCCTGCACTGCCTTTTGACAGCAGAGGAACTAAGAGCTCAAACAGCCACTGATGCTGGTGTAGGGGTTAAATCACTTCCTGCAGATTTCAGGCATGTATTTTTTCAACATGATATCCGAATTGATTGGAAAACAAGGTGGAAACTTAACTATTATTGTGTGAATTATAAAACTGATACCTTTGCTTAACTCCTGTCACTTCTCAGTAAAATAAAACATAGTTGAAAAATATGGATTTTGAATGGTGAAGTTACATGCTGCAGTCACAGTTCTTTTCAGAAGGCTGTTACTCTTTTTAAACATGTATGTGCATGTAGAGTCTTCTTGCCTTGTGATAACATTTTTTTGTTAACAAACCCTGCATATATTTTTACAGATATCCTAACTTGGACTTTGGATGGAAAAAATCTATTGACAGCAAATCCTTCATCTCTCTTCCTAACTCCTCAGTAGTAGAGAATGAAAATTACTGTAAGCACAGCACAATTGTAGTCCCTGAAAATGCTGCACATCAAGGTGCTAATAGAACCTCTTCTGCAGAAAACCATGACCAAATGTCTGTGAGTTACAGAACATTGCTCAATGAGTCACCCAGTAAACTCCAAATTGATGTCTCGGCAGAACTTGCAGCAATTAATGGTGTTTCTTATAATAAAAATCTTGCCAATGGCAATTGTGATTTAGTTAACAGAGACTTTTGCCAAGGAAATCAGCTGAATTACTGCAGGCAGGAAATACCTGTACAACCAACTACCTCATATCCCATTCAGAATTTATACAACAGTGAGAACCAGCCCAAGCCCAGCAATGAATGTACTCTACTGAGTAATAAATACCTTGATGGAAATGCTAACAGATCTACCTCAGATGGATGCCCCAAAATGGCAGTGACCACCAGTACTTCAAAAGCTAATAATCTTTCAAAAGACAGAGCAGATTCTGAAAAGAGCCCTTCCACTGGGTACTCCTCAAAAACTCTCGGTCCTAATCCTGGTCTCATTCTTCAAGCTTTGACTCTTTCAAATGCTAGTGATGGATTTAACCTGGAGCGGCTAGAAATGCTTGGTGATTCGTTTTTAAAGCATGCCATCACTACGTACTTGTTTTGCACTTACCCTGATGCTCACGAGGGACGGCTGTCATATATGAGAAGCAAAAAAGTGAGTAGTAACAATCCACTGTTATTATACCAAAGGCATACTGTAACAAGCCATATATATGAAATTTTTGCCAGAAGACTGAATGGGAACAGGTTGATTTAATTCCACAGCTTTGCTGATTATACATCAAGTAGCATGCATATTAGGAATAAAAATACAGGACTGTGGGCTTAATGTTGTTGTAACTGCTTGATTGAAACTGTTTTCTGCAGTTCAGTTTGAAGTCTAAACCAGGTGATTATGAACTTAAGAAAGGACCGGATTGAATAGAACTAAAAGTTCTGGATTAGTGAGGACATTTGGTGCACTGAACATTAGAGCTGTATTGAGTAGAAACTCTTAACAGGAATGCTTGAATGAAGCATTGGGTTACAACACAGAGCTTTAGGTTATACCTATACTTGACCTTTCCTTTGTTTCCTCGATAAGTTCCTTTCCTGGAAAATTTTTAACATACTCTTACAGACACACTTAAAAAGGAAACCAAAAAAATCTTACAAAACTGTTGCATCAAAACTTTTGAAAATATTTTGGACTAAATGTAAATGGTAGGGAGCAGAGTCTTCAGTTCTACTCCTACTAGAATAAACAATCATGTGAAAGCTTTTGTTCGTTTTGTTCTTTCCCCCCACATAATGTGATAACTTGTATTAAATAGTAAGGCTTTGATTGTCTATCTCTAATAAAATGCATCTCTGTGGAAGTGAAATAAGTTGCACTATTCAAATAAAAGAAGTGATTGATTATTCACATTCAAATTTCAAGATTCTAAAACATGAAAAATGTGTTTGAAAGGAGAAAAAAAGATCAGAAGTTGATAGTTAAAAAGGGAAAGAAAGTATGTTTGTGAGAATGCATTTTTCCCTTCCCTTAAAAATATCTAAAATCATTTTAGAGGCTGTTAAAATAACATCTGGATTATGACTTAATAAGATTTTTTGTACAGAATGGTTTTAACACTTTCTACTGCCAAGGTTTAGGTCAGTGTACCCATAAATAATAATTTTTCATTCCAGGTCTAGTCTGAATGTTGATTACACTGGTAATTAATGACACTTGTACAGGTTCTATTTACTGTTATTTCAGAAGAGCAGTAAGTTTGTTTTGCAATTAGAATATAATCTGTTAGATTTCTTTAACCGAAGTTGTCACACCTGATATGCTTGGCCTCAAAGAAATATGAAAAGCAAGATGTATATCTTGTTTTGAGTTTGCTATACTATATTAGGAAAGCTGAACTCCCTTTTGAGAACTAGAGAAAATGCATAATGGTACAAGATCTGGCTTGACACGTAAAATCGTTTTGCTCCTTTTGCATTTTAACGTATTTTTATGTAAGTATATGTCCAGAGGTTTATGAGAACGTTTTTCTTAAAGGTCAGCAACTGTAACTTATATCGCCTTGGAAAAAAGAAGGGACTGCCCAGTCGCATGGTTGTGTCGATTTTTGATCCTCCGGTCAATTGGCTTCCTCCTGGTTACATAGTAAACCAGGACAAGAGCAATACTGATAAGTGGGAGAAAGATGAAATGGTAAGACTTCATTTAACTATGTTGCTGAGTAATTGTTCACGTGTCTGTATCCTTTCACCCCTACCTTCTCCTGCCCCACCCCCCAGATACTTTGCTGTGTTTTCAGCCAAAAAAAAAGTAAATCTGTATCTTTTTTTTCTTTCTAAAACTTCTCTGTCAGAGAAAAAAAACTAATTCTGAACTTGAAGTAAGGAAATTTTATTGCACATCATCCAGTAATGAGTGTAGATATTAACAGAGAAACAGAGAAGAAAAACTTTCCTGCTTATAATTAGCCTACTCTCACGAGTTTTTCTGAAGTTTCTGTTGCAAATTTTAAATGATAAAGTGTTATCATCACTGCTTTTGCTATATGTTCAGCCAGAACACTGTCTGCTTTTTAATAAATAATGAGTTCACCTTTATAGAATATATTAAAAGGAGTTAGTGTTTTTCAATGAAGAGTAGAACTGGCTTGAGAAAATGTTCAGTATTGATTGCTGGTAGCTACACCGTGGGTATGACTGAGAGCTGCTTCTCATCTGAAGTATGTGCTGGCTTAGACCCCCACTATCTTATCACCAAAAGCTTCAGAATGATGAGTCTTAATGAGAAAAGGTTCACATTATTTTCTGACTAAATGCATTGCATGTTGAGAGTAGAAGGTGATGTTAAGAAATACCAGTGATCACAGCAGTCAGTAACACGATCTTGAAGTGTTTGAGACTGGTTTGGGATTCAAGGGAAGGAGGTGGAGGGACTTTTTTCTTTTTCCCCATTCTGAAGACCACACTCGGATTGTTGTACCACCAGAGGGCACATGAGAGGACTGTTAGGTGGATGTACCGTGCAAATAAATGTTTATTGCAGAATAAAACAACCTGATTATTGTGGTTCTGTATTGTGCCAAGATTTCATTTCAGAGAGACTTCCTGCTATATCTTTCTGGCAAATGAGATAGTACATTTGGGACTGGAGCTAATTGTTGGTTTTCAAAAGGTTTCAGTTCTCTGCAACTTTTCAGTGGCCTCTACCTTGTTAATAGTCACTGCTTATTTGTAAATAAAACACACAATTTCAGACCAAAATGCAGACAGCGATGCAACCACGTAGTGGAGGGTTTTGTGCCAATTAGGTATTTGGCTTTCTTGGATGTAAATTTTGTTCTTCATCCATGGGATGATGGTCTGTAAGTGGAACTAGAGATCTTGTATCATTATGATCAATTATTACTAAAACATCCTAGTCAAATGTTAGTATTTTTAGTGTTATTAAGCTTTATTAAGGGAAAGGATCTTTGTTCTTTTTATCAAATGGCTGGTTCACAGATCTGCAAGATTTAGATGCTGAGCCCTACAATATGACATGTATAGGTTGAGGGCAGATGCAGGCAGTTTCACTTGATTCACAAAGTGTTGGCTTTCAGGACGCAATCTAGAAAAGTGCTTTGAATCTGATCTTGCTCCTATCAAATTCAATGATAGAATCCCTGCAGGCATCAGTGATGCTGTGTTGAGCCTGTGAATAGTCCTTTTGATGTTAGGAAGACTACTAGTGCATTTAGCTGTCCATGGCCTGGATAGGGGCCATGGCAAATTGTAAAGCATTATATAGCTCAGGCATATTTGTGTTCAGTTTATATTTTACAGTAATCCATACCAATTTGCTCAATATGAGCAGGGAAAAGACATGAAACTTCATTAGCTTTGCTGTTGTGGGTACGTATGTAAATATTAGAAAATTGGTGACAACTTTGCCTTTTTTTTTTATTAGGTAAGGCTATAGGAACAACCTGGAAAGAAATAAAAGACTGAATAAACCCCCCATTGATGCGTTTTTCCATTTGTGTGTTCCAAAACTGAGATTATCACGATTGCGAATATAGTAAACCCTACAAGTTCCTTATTTGCCGTAGAAGGATGTAGAAAGAACCTTCAAAATGACATTGATTCAACATTTGTAATAGCCTTACTTAGCAGCTGGAGAGAAGGATGTACCCAGAACTCTTTCCCTAAAATTTGTTAGTTTTCTTTTGTGTACTTTGGTGTGCAAGTGTATAATGTTCAGTGGATATAAAGCTCATTGTATGTGCATCACATTCAAGTATAACCATGGGTTCCAATGGAATGCAGCATGTGTATTATGCAGAACACACACTATGATAGGTTAATAATAAAGCATTTGTATTCCAGGGCAATTATTCTAGTGTTGGTTAATTAACACTAGTTAACACTAGTGTTGGTTAATTAACACTAGTTAACACTAGTGTTGGTTAATTAACACTAGTTAACACTAGTGTTGGTTAATTAACACTAGTTAACACTAGTGTTGGTTAATTAACACTAGTTAACACTAGTGTTAATTAAATATTGTATTGTGCATCTGATCAGACAATGTAATTAGGAACATAAAAATCAGCCTTATTTTTAGCAGACACTTCTCAAATCCTAGTCTTCTGATCTTTCTGGAATAAAACTATCTCATTTCCCTCTTCATGTATATTTTGTGTTCTTTCATAGACAAAGGAAAACATGTTGGCTAATGGTAAACTTGATGATTATAACGATGATGAAGAGAATGAAGACCTAATGTGGAGATCGCCCAAGGAAGAAACAGACTTTGAAGATGATTTTCTGGAGTATGATCAGGAGCATATCAAATTCATTGATAATATGTTAATGGGATCAGGGGCTTTTGTGAAGAAAATTTCGCTCTCACACTTTTCAACCACTGATTCAAACTATGAATGGAAAGCACCCAAAAAGTCATCCCTGGGTAATGTTCAGTGTTCATCAGATTTTGATGATTTTGACTATAGCTCTTGGGATGCTATGTGCTATCTGGATCCTAGCAAGGCTGTTGAAGAGGATGATTTCGTAGTGGGCTTCTGGAATCCCTCAGAAGAAAACTGTGGTGTTGATGCAGGAAAACAGTCAATCTCATATGACTTGCATACGGAGCAGTGTATTGCTGATAAGAGCATTGCAGACTGTGTGGAAGCCCTGCTGGGCTGCTATCTGACCAGCTGTGGTGAAAGAGCTGCTCAGCTTTTCCTGTGTTCATTGGGGCTGAAGGTGCTCCCTGTAATTAAAAAGACTGATTGGGAAGGCACTTTATGTGCTACGAGAGAGAACTGTAACAGTGAGCAGAAAACTATTTCACCAAACTCTGTTTCTGCTTCTGTAGCTAATTCAGAGCCTTCTCTGTGTAAAGACCTGGAGTATGGCTGTTTGAAGATTCCACCGAGGTGTATGTTTGATCACCCAGATGCTGAAAAAACCCTTAATCACCTTATTTCTGGTTTTGAAAACTTTGAGAAGAAAATAAATTACAGTTTTAAGAACAAGGCTTACCTTCTTCAGGCATTTACTCATGCCTCCTACCATTATAATACCATTACTGGTAAGTTGTCTTGAAGAACATCTACAGTTTTTCTCCATACTGTAAATGCAAGAGAAGTAGTATATGTTGTGCTCCCATATATATTCTATTTTTAGGCATCACATGTTACTTTAAGAAGCCAATAGTCTCTGAATACAAAATCTTAGAAAATAGCATTTTGCAAAATATTTAAAGAGGGATACTTGCTGAGTCTGTATCCCAATCGTTATTCATATTTTGACTTGATGCAGACAGAATGTATTTACTGAAGCCTCACCAAGTTCCAAGAAAGAGCAGCATTTATCACCAATGCTGTATCACTAGCTGTATGAGTGACATTAGATCCTCATTTAACAGAAACAAGTTCTTGTAGAACTCTGGAAAGTTGTCACGTACTTCAGGAAATAGCAGTCATATTTAGCAAATCAGTTCCATAATTGTATTCCAAGAATATTATACTTTGTCTGTACTTACAAAGATTAATTGTAGACTATACAGTTTTTATTAGCTGAAGGATCTATAGGATTGCAGAATATGGAGACTTCCCTTTGAAGTTGTGAATTTGAAGGCTTAATCTAAATGTAAGCATTTTATTGAGTAAATATTTAAAGTCAAAGTTTGAAGTAATTGACTAAATCTGACTAAATATTAATTTCAGATTAACTGCATAATGTTTCTGTACATGATCTCATGAAAGCTTTTACATCAGTAGAAATTTGTATTTCTGTAATCTTTAATTGCATTTGCTTATACTAATTAATGTAATATTTGTTCATTCTAAAACTTTGCATATTTTCCTACAATAATATGCAATCAAAAGCAAAACATAGCAAAATTCCAACCCTATTTGTAGTGATTGGCAAGTTCCTCTGCAGTCAACAGTCTGAAATTTTTCTCCATAGTGAATTGGTCTCTTATTCCAAGGAGTGAAAAACCTCTGCTTTAATTAAAGAAATAAGTCATTTTGAAATGTTACTACATTGATAAACAGTTCTGACAAAACACTGAAATGTTCCTTTAGTTTTTCGTTCTAGGTAATATTACCCACATATATATTTACTTTTTACAAATATTTCACAAAACTTTCAGATAGAAGGTAGATGATTATTTATATAGAGATGTATATATATATATGTATATATATATATATATATACATAGACTAACAGAAACGTTGAGACATAGCGACTACTTAAAATTATGTTGTCAGTAGCAGAAACTTTTGATTTCATTTCTTATCTACCAAGTAAGACAACTGTGAATTGCTGTTACTTGTAACTTTTTTTCTTAAGGAGTAGCTAGCAGTTGAGATGTGGCAACCTCTTATGTTCAGTTGATAAAAAAGCAGCTTAGTACTAGCCATTTCACTCTCATGTTAACTTCTGTAATAGTTGTGTCTTTCTTTCTTCTCTACCTACCTATCCCTATTTGCATTCAAGAGGGTTTTTACTTTTGTTTATATTCTAAAAATAGATGTTCATAGCTCTCTGTTCCCATGGCCACTGTCAACTTTCAAAAAAGCAAAGGCTTGGCAATTTTAATTTCTGGTTTAAAAGAACTATTTGAAACAGGAATCTTTGTTGAAGGTTTTTAATGTGTGGCAAATTAGATGAAAAATCTCACATTTTATGTTCCCCCTGCTTTTTAATACATTGCTTTTTGTATTAATTTTTTGAGTTTTAATTGTTAGTAGTTTTCAGATCAGCCTGCTGGTGGAATCTCTTAATTTTACTCTTTCTCAACACAGCGATGATCTTGAGTAAAAGCATTAATTGATTATAAGCACAAGTGTTTTGTTAGCCTGGCAAAAATTAACATTTTGTTCAAAATTGTCTTTATTATGAGATATAATTTATGTTTTTTCCTGGTTTCTTTTTTTAGTGATTCATTAGCAATCTCTTTAAATGCAAAGGTACCTGTTTTAAAAAATAGATTGTCTTCTCTGAGCATTTGTTAGTTTGTGGAGTTTACATGGCAGTGTACCAAACCTCTTATCCAGAAAGGCCTGGAAAGAATGTGTGTATTAAACTTAATTGTGGTGTTGTACATTCTTTTATTTCCAACGTTTTAAGATTGTTACCAGCGCTTAGAATTCCTGGGAGATGCAATTTTGGACTACCTCATAACCAAGCACCTTTATGAAGACCCACGGCAACACTCTCCAGGAGTTCTTACTGACCTACGTTCTGCTCTAGTCAATAATACCATTTTTGCATCATTAGCTGTAAAGTATGACTACCACAAGTACTTCAAAGCTGTCTCTCCTGAACTGTTTCATGTTATTGATGACTTTGTGCAGTTTCAAATGGAAAAGAATGAAATGCAAGGAATGGATTCTGAGGTTAGTGGAAGTAGAAGAAATGTGTTCAGTATCTGATTTGAAGCATGTCACTGGATTTCTTAGCATGATGCACATTTTTGTAATGTTTTATGAACACAGCAGCCAAGAAGCAGGCTCCCAGTAATAAAGGATGCAGTATGGAAAGTAAAATAGTCTTTTCAGAAAGTAGAAAATCAATTAGAACTTTCAGAAATTAATTAATTTGAAAGCAGTTTGCCTCTAGGCTTTTCTGTGACACTTGATTTTAGTCATTGTTTTGTTTTTGTTTTGTTAGAACAACATGGGACACACATGCACACTTAGCTTGCTTCCTTCCCGAACTGATTGGAAGCACCACTATAACATAACATTGTGATGAAGGGTTGCTAAGTTACATAATGCTGACTTGAGGTAGGATATCTGTGCAACACCGTGAAAAATACTGCCTTGGCACGGTGGGATTATTAAATGTAGTGCACTGACAAGAGATTTCTGCTATTTTCTTCTGATGGTTTCTACTGGAGCCAGTGTTACTGCACTGTACTCAAGTATGTTTGACGTTCCTAAAGGCTTCGTATCTGCTAGCCAGGGAAACATTATATGCATCTTTCGAGTAAGCCACTTGAAAAATAGTTTCACTGAAGGCTTGCAAACGAAGGTCATATCTTGTGCTGTGCAGGAAAACTGATGATAATGAACCTCTGTTTTCTGGAGAGTGTACTAAAACTAATTAATTTATATAAGCTGCTTAGGAAATACAAGAGCAAAGGCCTGGTGAATCAAATTCTAGTCAGGATCTGGAAGAGATGGACTTTATCTTTTCTTCAGAAGTGTTATCCATAATAGTTTGTCTTCTGCAACGCTGACCAATCTCTTAAAAAATGCTCTTGTCTGAGAATACTCCAGAACTAAGTTAGCATTTACTCCAGCAATACACCAGTACTTTGCTTTTAGTAATTTTGTTTCTGATAGACAAAGCTTGGGAATTAAAATACTTCAGTCACATGTGTGTGTTTCTAGCCCTTGCACTTTGTTGCGGAGTGAAAACCATGTTTTATGGGAAAGATTCATTAAGCATTGACTAAGAAATTCGTCACTGAAATTTGGATAATATAAATTACTTTACATTAGAGGATCAAATTGTTACTTGTTTTCTACACAGTATGAGTGAAAAGGCTAAGAACTTATTTTAAGAACTCATAGTAGTGATTTTTAGCTTTGTTTTTGCTTGGTTTTTGCTTGTGTGCAAAAAGATTGCCTAGAAGCTTGCACCACAGTTGCAACCAAATTGTGTGATAGCTGTTTCAAATAAAATCCTTGTTTCATTCTCCCTATGCCTGCTCCCTATCTTGGTCTGGCACTGAATTACTGAAACTCTTATTTCATGAGTTAATGCAAGAGTCTTTGTTTCTACAGTTCATGCCAGCTAGAGTGGTTTCCATGTGTGTCTCCACATCATCTGCTTTTCTTATTTTCAGATCTCACTTCTGAAACATCTGTTGTCCCTTGCCTTATAGCTCTTAGTTTCGCTCTCCTTCTGTTATTTCAGTATAATTCAGAAGTGTTACAGTTTGCTCTTGGTATGAAATACACTATTCAAAACAGTTGAATTTATTTTTTACCATCAAAATTCCTATTTGCACTGTTGTATGCATCAGGTCTGACTACTTGCTTGATTTATTTTAGGTAGAAATACCGGGTGGAATGTGTTTATGAAGCATTATGGTCTCTCTTAAGAGGACTAAATCAGATTTTAAACCCCAAATAGTGACCAAATGGAGTGAGAGGGTAGCTGCTGGGGGAGAGGACTGACAGAAACTTACTTCTTTTTAGGCAGAGGAGCATAACAAAAATTTTGTTTTCAGGTTACTTTGTTTGTAGTTAGGTGAAAGTATATTACATGTTTTTGAGGTATTTTAGTAAAGGATTAGGTTAGCTCAGGACCTTTAAGACATACACTGAATGTTTAGTTTTGCTAATGAGAATAGACTGTTGTCTTAAATCGGTAGCATAGAAGAAAACCCTGTCTGCTACATTTAAATACCTAAGTGTGCCTGTTAGCTCAGTCTGATGTTGCTGGTTTTCAGTTATTAGTGGCTTATTTTACTAGTGCCTGTTTCATGCTTGTCTTCAGGGGTGTAAATAAGGTAAGGAAAGGTACATGCAGCTTTCATCCAGAGATTGGACTTACAGATTTTAAAAGTCTTTTTTTTGGAGATGTATAATGTGTGAACTCGTCCTTTGTTAGCAGTAGATTTCTAATATCAACTGATGGAGCTGAGTCTGTTTCTTATTGGAAAAAACAGACCCATGGTGAAATCCTACAGAATTATTCTCGAAGTCCTCTGTACACAATGCTGTTTGGGAATTTTTTTTTTTTTTCACATTTGAAAAATGATACATCTAGCACCTTGGTTTCATTGGGGAATAAAAAAACAATTTCATAGTGGAAAGTTGTCAGTCAAAAACAAAGGAAGCAGCACAGGATATACATTTCTGAAGATCTTTGTTTTACTGTAAGTAAAACAATTGTTTCTCTCTTTTCCCCTCTCCTTCTCTCTCCCTTCCCACCCTTGTCTTTTTTTAATTGCAAACAGCTCAGAAGATCAGAAGAAGATGAAGAAAAAGAGGAAGACATTGAAGTACCAAAGGCCATGGGGGATATATTTGAGTCCCTTGCTGGTGCCATTTATATGGATAGTGGAATGTCTTTGGAAATGGTTTGGCAAGTGTACTATCCAATGATGAGGCCATTAATAGGTATTACCGGCTTTCAAAAAAATATTAATTCCTAAGTGCCGTCTGCTATGAAAAGAACAGAGCTAATTTTTTTCCACTTTTTTTTTCCAAATAGAAAAATTTTCTGCTAATGTGCCCCGTTCCCCAGTGCGAGAATTGCTGGAGATGGAGCCGGAGACAGCCAAATTCAGGTAAGAATATACTTTCTTTGGTACACGCTGACAGAAGATGTTTCTAAGCTGTGCTTCATAAGCTGCTAGGAATTCTTAAATGTCAATTACTTGTACTTGTAATTTCTTTTGCACTAAGTATCTAACATGATAATTGTGTCCACTGTTTGGTTTTTTTTCCTTGCATAGCTTTTTGAGAAATGTAGTGATTTCTGTTTAACTTTACTGCTTTAACTTCTGTAGAAAAGAGAATGTAGGTCTCTTATTTCACATTAACTTGCCTTAGGCAGTAAGTAATTCTTGTGTATATTTTTGCAGTCCTGCAGAAAGAACTTACGATGGAAAGGTCAGAGTTACAGTGGAAGTTGTAGGAAAGGGAAAGTTTAAAGGTGTTGGCAGAAGCTACAGGATTGCCAAATCTGCAGCTGCGAGAAGAGCACTACGAAGCCTCAAAGCAAATCAACCTCAGGTCCCAAACAGCTGAGACTCCTCTTAAAACTAAACGAAATGGGGGGAAAAAAATCACATACAATTAAAGCAAGCTTAAAAAAATGTTGATGTTGAGAGGAACAAATTGGAAGACAGAATTTAAAGTTTGATAACAGAATAGATAACAAAACATTTAACATGTATAAAATTTTGGAACTAATTGTAGTTATAGTTTTTTGCGCAAACACAATCTTGTCTTCTTTCCTCACTTCTGCTTTGTTTAATCACGAGAGTGCTTTAATGATGACATTTAGCAAGTGTTCAGAATAATTGTTGTCAGGTCTTTTTGGTTTACTTTTATTGTCAGTACAGCTTTGCTTAGTGTTAGAAGGCGAGGGAGCTTATGCCTAATGCAGTTGCTAGATTTATATATAGTAATCTTGAAATTCTTCAATCTGTGCACTAGTGCCAGTCATAAAGCAGTTGATAAACTGTACTGGATGATTGGGTATAAGAAAGATTAAGTGTGCCAGTATTCTCCTTTTTATTTTCTTTTTTTTTTTTTCTCTACGTGTCATCTTTTTACATTAAGATGACATTCCCAATCATTATTGCACTTATTTGTTAGGGACAGATTTTAATTGAAATGGCTGGCATACTGATAGAGTGAAACTTCAGTTTCCTTATGCCACACAGTCTTGCATAAAAAAAGGTTCTTGCCTTAAAAATAAATAAACCCTCATTAATAATCTTTATTTTCTGATCTCTTTTGGAACAAACTGTTTTACATTCCCTTCATTTTGTTATGCATTTTACAATGATACAGCTCTATATTTACAGTACAACTCATTACTATAGCTGTGACTTATTACAGGATTATAATAGAAATTATATTCATATATATGTAATTAGGTTATTTTTAACAATTCTGAGGAGGTGGTTAGTCTACAGTTTTTTTTATACCATAAACAAAATATGGTCTTTGGCTAAAATTCCAGTTTTACACAAACCTGCAAGCTAGATAGTTCCAATACTGGAAACAGCAACAAATAATTGCACAGTGCAAACTGTCACTCTAACAAAATAACCTTAGACATATCACACCTAAGATATGCTGCAGATTTTATAGTCAATTGGTTACGTATTTAACAAACAGAGCACCTTTACACTTAGAGATATTTCCACGTAAATTTCTTACTGTACTTTTCAGAGTTGCATGCATATTTCATCTACCAAAGCTGTGCTGTTAAATAACATGAAAGTTGATGTTTGAGATATAACTGCCGTACTTTTGATACATCTGTGATTTAGGTCCTTAATTTAGAGAAACTAGCTCATTGGTGTTTTGGTCTACCAGGAGTACAGGGGGGGGAAATCATACTTTTATTTTTTAGGCTTTGCCTATACTTCTTTAATTAGATTTTCGTAGGCACTCTTCACTTAAATACCTCAGTTCTTTTTTTCTTTTCTTTTTCCTTTTTGTTTTTGCATGCATTGTTTTTTTTCTGTTTTGGTGCTATGTTTATATATTATGCTTGAAATTTTAATTTTTTGCACTGTAACTATAATACCTCTTAATTTACCTTTTAAAAAAGCTGTGGGTCTCTTATTCCCACCAGTATCAGTAGAGGTTTGCTGCAATTTTGCCCTGTTAATTATGCTTGAAGTTTGAGAAAGCAGAGCAAGGTGTTTTAACGTTTTCCAGCACAATAGTTTGAACTTGATGCTGTGTCTTATGTATTAAATTACAAATAAATACTGTATTTCCTGCTTTTAAACCATATTCCTTTCCTCACAAATGCACACTAAAACAAAACAAAAACTGTCAGCTCTTGCTTTCTTAATAAAGAAATAAAATAAATGCCTTAGTGACAAGGGGCAGACATTAAGCTTTTCTGAAATACAGTTTTCAAAAGTTCGTATATTTTCTATCTCAGTAATTTTTCATTCTGTGACAAGGACCATTCTTGTATTTGAAAGCGGCTTGTTATAGTAGTCAGACCAATAACTAAAATATAGCTTATAAAAAATTCTAGCATTTGTTTGGTACTTCAGTCATGAAAATATAACAAGGATATAAGACCTGCAAGTGTAAATGATATGGAACAGTAAAAACATGCATTCTAAATTTTCAAATCCAAATTGCTTTGTGTTAGCTGTTTAAAAATTTTTTTTAAAACAAGTTACTGATTTAAGCTATAGCTCTCTCTTTCTGGTAGGACTGAAGTTTCTTAGAGAAAATACATGATTAGTGATGTTAGCAATTCTATGTTTTTGGCCAGACATCAATCACTAGATTAAATCAGACCATCTAGAAAGTCTTAAGTAGTTTTAATTGCATTATGAAAAACTAAAATTTAGGTTAGTCTTTGAACACCTAAAGTTTCTTACTGATACAAGGTTGTAGATTCTCAGGGGTTTCAGGTAATTGTTAGCAGTAAAGTGCTTACAGAGTGCTTGGATGCAAAGAAAATTAACTGAACTTACTCTGTGTTTCAGAATAGTTTAATGATCACTTTGTTACTAGATAAAGCCTATGAATTGGAAATCTGAAATGTGTAGTGGCTGACTATAGTTTCTGCTGCTGATGCGTTTTTAAATGCGTTTTAAATGCCACAATTTTTTCCAGTGTGACCTCATTGAAATATTTTTTTATCCTTTTGAGACAGAAAACCCACATTAGTTTCCATGTTATGCATCTGTGTGTTTTACCCTACAGTTGTTATGATTTTGATACTGGACAGTGTATGCTATTAAAGACCTAAATCTGATCATTTGAAGGTTGGGATAGAAGTCACTTGACATGCTATAAGCACAAGTGTAAGTGGACTGTTGCAGCCCATCTTCAAAAGCAACCACACAGGCTCATCATATATAGTGTGGGGGTTAATTGGCATGAACCTTGGTTTTTTTAATCTAAGTCCTGTTATACTGTACTTTAAACAGTCCTCCTAACTATGCTGCGTTTTTATTTTTATGGCTTTTTTTTTGCGCTGTTCTGTTCATGTAGCACAAATAAGCATTGCACTTGGTACCATGCTTTACCTCATTTCAAGGAAAAAATGCTTAACAGAGAGGAAAAATGTGGTTTGGCCTTGCTGCTGTTCTGATTTACTGAATTTGAAAAAGATAGTTTTAATGCCTGCAATGTGTCATTTACTTGCACAACTTAAATAGGTCATTTTGTAACGTCTGTGGCATTTTTACTGTATGTGGAAAAATACAACAAAGATGTGTAACAACTCTTGATTGTATTTTAAAGCTATTATTTTTCTACTGCATCATTTTACTGTTACGTGAAGTAATTAAAATTAGAATGACCTCTGACTGACACTCCAGTAATTATCTCTGAACAAACCAACATATTACACATATAATGTAGTTTTTGGGAAAAGACAGCCCCTAGTAACTTGGTCAACCTCAACTAAATCTGTGCTCAGTCTGAATACTGAGTGCCCAGTAGCGACTTCTGAAGTGTTTGTTCAGCTTGATGCTGCTAAAGTCCATACAGAAAAAAAGCCTACTATTTTTAAGTCTCTTTACACAATAGTATGTTGTGACTGCTGAGTACAGAACTTGGACAAGAACTAGTTTTGGTGCTGGGGAGGAATATAATAGTGGCCCAGCAGTGAGGCACTGGATCCTCAGCTGGTGCAAATTGATGTGGTATCATTTTAATCAATGGAACTGCATTCTTTTACACACATGAAAATCTTGTGCTTGTACGTATGTTGCAGAGTTTGGGTTTTCCTCCTTGTAAGCCAATACAGAACCGTCAACTGGAAAATGTGGTTTTTATGTTACTGCATATGACATAACATGCTACATACTCTATGCATTTATCTGTTTAGAAAGTGAAATCTTTGTATCCTAGTCACAGCAGCACAAATGACAAATGGCATCGTGGTCTGCTGTGATACTGCACTTGCCTCTGCCTGACAATATTCTGGGTTTGTATGTTTTGGATGGGTTCTTCATGAAAACATTCTCGTGGAAATCTCTGCATTTATTACATGAGAGAAGCAAGAAGCATTTTGATTTTTGATACTGAATTACTGACATTGATCCTTTTCCAATTGCTCAAATTTTCAAGAAGTTAATTTCTTTACTTTCATATTAGGTTTTAAACTTAAAACACTACAGTTCATGACCATGAAATGTAATCTAAATATCAACTGTAAATCTGAATTATGTTAGCAAATATCTAGAGGTCATTGTAGTATACTCCACTAGCAGTTAAAATTAATTTCTGTCAAAGCTAACTACATTTCTTAAAAATAAATTTTATCCAATAAAGTCCTTGGGTTTTTTCCCCTCTTTTATTTGAATGGCAACCACAGACTACTTTAATTGCTTTGTAGATGCACTCAGAATTTACTGCAGCAGCAAGTTGGAGAGAAAAATGTTTGTGAACAATAATTGGAAATTGCAGGCATTTTTATTGTAAATAGTTTGACTGAAAAGATGGTTAAAATCAAGTAGAATGAATAACAAATATAATTTGATGGACAATAAAATATTTACCATCACATGCTGCAGCTGTCTTTAAGGGACATAAAATGTAATTCATTCATACTGTAATCATGCTGCAGAAGTTTGCAATCTGCACCTTATGGATCACAATTACCTTTAATAGTTTTTTGTAATAATTGTAGCTGAGTATATCTCCAATAAAGTTATGGTCTGTTCACCTTGTATTGTCGTTTTGCTTTTATTTTTAATTCCTCTTAATCTCTCCATAAATCTTCTAGAGTTTAAAAAAAAATTGCTTTTCAGTCTAAATAAAAAAAATTGTGAAAACAGTATTTCTTGACCTTGCTTAAAGACAAGTCTGCTTGTCTCCTTTCTCTGATGGATGAACTGTCTTCATAGCTATGTGAAGACTCTTAAGGGACACTCAGGTTAAAAATGATGGTGTACGTGGTACGATTTGATCTCTGTGTTGACCATTATACCTGCAAAATGTCTGTGGGAGCTGGGAGGCCCCAGAGCACAAGGGTTCAGTAACACAGGTTTGCACAATCGGCACATGTTTTAAGAATAACATGTTCATATTAGCTAATAGTCTCAGCATTAATGACATCGATTTTAATTATTTTTCTATTTGTTTTCCATTAATATTTCACTTACCCTGGATATTGAAAGTGTGTTTTCAGAGTGTTCTGACTGGCACACCAGTGTCATGTATCTGTGGAGACAAGGCAGACTTGCCAGACAAAGATCAGGAGTTTTCCTTTCTGAAAACTTCACAGTGTAGCAGTCAGTAGCTTGACATGTGCAGTGGTTAACTGTTACTACACATTTTGCCTTAGGTTATAGAGAAAAGCCTGCTGAGCTGCTGGTGGGCACAGTCCCTTTTTCTGGGACTTAGAGGGGCAGCCAGAGTTCTCCAGAAAGTCAAAGTGTCAAATCAGTAAAGGTTCTGCCTCAAAGGCAGGTGACCACATTTTTTGCCAGTGTGGGAGCATCACCTTCTTACTGTAGATTTTGAGTACAGCTTAATAGTAATGGTGTTGAAACTGTATAGTGTAAAATATCCTTTTTTTTTTTTTAAATTTAGGAATGTAGCAATGACTTGAGTTCTTCCTGACCCTCAAGGAAACATGAGTCTTGACTTGAAAAGAGGAATAATAAGCTTTAGTAAGGCTATAACATCAAGATACAAATTTTCAGGATAGCCGCCTTTAATCCTTCTGACAAACCTCAGTGTTCACCCTATAGGAACTGTCTATCTGAGGAAGAGTCTACAGGTAGTGGTTTCTCATCTCCTTATTACAAGAATGTGTTCCATGGTTGCCTCAATAGAATGAAGATGGGTTTGGTTAGCTGCTATTCTTCTTAAGTAAAACTATACAGAAAAAGGAGTTTGAAAAATGAGGAATAAGTTTTTGAATACACTTGCCCTGAAAAGAGGTAGTTACAAATTTAATCATAACTTCAGGTCCAGAAACAGAGGAGCAGGTTTGGTGCTTGTCTGGGCTTTCCTTAATGCTGCTGCCAGAGTCCAGGTGCAGGATCTATTCCTTAGAGGAAATCTCCATGTCAGTGGACACAGGCAGTAGTGACATGTAAGCAGGTTTTATTTTCCTCGTAGCTGTGATTAGGTCTTTCCTATTGTAGAATGTGAACAGTAATTTCATTTTGGTAAGCAAAAAAACCAAGGACCTTCCCAGTTTTATGGAAACAGTATCATTTACTTTGCTGCTTAACCATCTCCACTTACCCGACTTACACTATTTTTTAAACATTACTTTTTATGTATATTTTACTGGAAGTCTTATGCTTATTTTTGAATTGAAGTAATTTTCTTCTGTTAACTTGAAAATTTCCTGTAGTTTTGAGTTCCTGTCCAGCTCTCTGAAGTCACTGGGAAGACATCCACTTGGGCTCTGTAGCTTGTATGTATTCGAACTTAACACAAAAGTCCTTCAGACATAAGTGTAAATTCCAGATGTCAAGCAAAAGGTGAGAAACAGTGATGTGCAAAGGCAGCCTCTGCTGTTCCGCTTCTTTCAGGCTCTTAAATAAAGTGTGGCACATTGACCAGCTGCCTACTTCTGAGATAACCCACCTACTGCAGTGAATATCCAGCGGCTTATTCTTTTCTTTTGCCACATGGGCAAAATTTAGAGGGGAGGAACACAAGGCAGTCTTTGTCAGGGCTTTTATTGGCATCTAGGATGCTTCAGCTGACTGTAAGACAGACATTGAGGTGCTGGAGCGTGTCCAGAGAAGGGCAACAGGGCTGGTAAAGGGTCTGGAACACGAGTTTTACAAGGAGCAGCTGAGGAGCATTTAGCCTGGAGAAAAGGAGGCTAAGGGAGGACCTCATTGCTCTCTACAACTTCCTGAAGAGGTTGTAGCCAGGTGGGAGGTCGGTCTCTTCTGTCAAGTAACAAGTGACAGGACTACTAAAGGAAATGGCCTTGAGTTGTGCAAGAGGAAGCTTAGATTGGATCTTAGCAAAGATTTCTTTACTGAAAGCGGTCAGGCATTGGAACAGGCTGCTTAGGGAAGTGGTGGAATCACCATCCCTGGAAATGTTCAGAAGGCATGTGGATGTGGCACTTGGGGATGTGGTGGTGCTGGTTTAATGGTTGGACTCAATGATCTTAGAGGTCTTTTCCAACCCAAATAACTCTGTGATCCTATGATGATTCTGTTTAAGGTGTGCACTCTGCAGACAGCAGGACCTGGGCTAACTGCCACCATTTCTTTGCTGTCAGTGGAGCCACATCAGTAGCTGCAGGGCACTATTTGGTTTTCCTGCCCTTATATCATCCTTTCAAAATGAGGTGAGCTGAATGAGGAAGAGGCCCATTCCTCCCCAACCTGGGGCTGGCACTCAGCTGATGACATGGATCCCACATAGGATCCCATATGGTACCCTGAAGCTGGAAATGTTCTTCCAGGGAAAATGGTGGAACAAGGAGAAGAGGAGATTTCATCAGGCTACAGAATGGCCAGGGAATCACAAGTTATTGCAGAGTCACTCTCATCTTTTGCCAAAGTGAGGATGATCCCCTCTACTGCCACTTGAACTGAAGCAGGGGAGTACGAACTCTGCAGCTGTTCCGGCATTTGCAATAAACTGGGGCTAAGTTGTGGACTTCCCTAACTGAAGCACTGAGTTCCACAGGGGGACAGCAGGATCACCAGATCAGTCCTCAATTATATATTCCTTTAAAAAAGCAGGTTTTACTGAAGTAGTTGAATGGCGCTTTGGCATCAGTTTTAGGGTAAGGTTTTTAACTTTACTTAGTTATACAGCAGTGTAGAGAGAGGAGCAGTGCTATGGTTGTATGCATTGCCTGTCTCACAACTACCATCATTAGCAAAAAAGGGGCAGTGAACACAGATCTTGCTGAGCATAGACACCTGCTTCCATGTTTTTATACTTCAACCACTTAAATCAGTAATTTTTGCTGTTGTGTATTCATTCTCCAGTCACCTGACTTTAGACAAGACCCAGGTGTCTGAACGAAACCCTCCCTGAATCCAGTAGAGCCTCAGTAGCTTGATAGGATTATTGAGTCATAGAATGGCTTGGAATGAAAGGGATCTTAAAGATCACCTAGTTTCACCCTATCCCACAATGGTCAGGGACACCTTCCATTAGAACAGGTTGCTCAAAGCTCCATCAGACTGGCCTTCAACAATTTTGGGGACTGGACATCCACAGCTTCTCTGCCTGTTTTAAGATCTGCCCTATTCTCACACAATTATAGCAATTAATACCATTTTGCAGCACCAATTTTAAGTTAAGAAATTATTGCTTTCAGGGTGATTCTAGCTAGAATAGCAGGGCATTATGTTCCTGCCAGCAACACTCATCACCTTTTTCCCAGCTTTACATAGTAGATATGCTCCAGGCAAAAGAGATCTCATTATACAAACAAGCATGGCATAGGCAGCTGTACTCCCTGTCTGGCCAACTGGCTGCTGTGCAGGGCCGTGCCAGCAAAAACCTCGCTTAAAACAAGGGCAGAAGTTCCAGGGATGCTGCCTCAACAACGGTGTTGAAATTGCCAGTGGTGGAGATGGAAAGTGAACTGTGGACGATTTAAGGAACCATTTTTTTCTGGACCTTTGCTGGGCTTTAAAAAGTTGGCCTTTCTGTGGAATCTGTGAACCAGAAGGGTTCCTGTGTGGAGCATTGAGCACTGCCTGCCATGGAAGGCTGAATTCCCAAAGAATGCCATTCTCCTCAGCAGGTACAGCAAGGCAGAGGAGAAGGGCAAGTCAGACCTTCCCCATCCACCTTACAGGGCTGAATCAAACACACATCCTTGTGCATGCACATTGCAAGGGAACTCCTTATTTTACTTAAAGTTGCAAGCTGCTGAATTACTGTAAAATAATCATACAGCAACCTCTGTGGAAGGTTTCTTGCAAAGTAATGTTGGTGTATTGGCAGGTTAGCTAAGGTGAAGGGTTACTTAATGCAGCATCTAAATAAATGCAGCAGAGCCTTGTGGCATATGGAACTAAACTAGATGTGAGTACATAGTCTATGCTAGATATAAAGCAGCTGCTTTTTGTATAGGATATGGTGTGTGGATGTGTGTCAGGAAATCCAAGAAACTGCAGTGGTTGAGGCAAGGAGTGATGGGGGACCTGCATAAAGACCTGAAATCTATCAACAAATAGAAAAAGTTGTAGACTGGAAATATTTTGGAAGAAATGCCAAGATTCAGAGACACTTCAAATATACAGACGAAAGGGAACAGACCTGGGCAATCCAGCACATAAATCAGCTCCCCAGAAAGGGGTGAGCAGCGCAAAGGAGGGCTGGGCAGTGGTGGAAACAGGCAGAAGCAGAGTTTGCATATTCCGACATCAAATTTTAGGGTGGCAGTGGGACTTGAGGAGGGGACGGGGAAGAAGAGACCAACTGAAGCAGAACCTTGCAATAAGCAGAGATTGACCTTGGCCACTGGGTACTGCGGAAATCACTGAGCAGTTTTTGCCACTTCCAACAAACTTTAAGCTTCAAGTATCCCTGAACTTAGTCCTCTGATGTCTAAAACAAATCCTGAAGAGTTTGTGACTCAACTGTGAGGGCTTCGTGTCTTAACTGCAGTAGTGAAAGCTGTGCCTTGCATCCAAAGCAAGTTTGTGGTGAGAAGAGCTGTGGTCTGTTCACTGTGCCAACAGTAAAGGTACAGTTTCTGAACCAGCCACACCACAGGCAG